CAAACTTGAATCTACACTACCTGAAGATGCTTCCATATAAATATGACTCATCATGACTTTGCTGTTCCTGAGAAGAAGATTTTTAAAGATTTTTCCTATATATTTCTATGTAAAACTTTGATCCTCCATTGTGGCCATGCCCTACCCCAAGGGGTCATGGTTTAAACAAAATAGAATCTACACTACCTGAGGATACTTCCATATAAATATGACTCATCGTGGCTTTGCTTTTCTTGAGAAGAAGATTTTTAAAGATTTTTCCTATATATTTCTATGTAAAAATTTGATCCTCCATTGTGGCCCCGCCCTACCCCCGGGGGTCATGATCTGAATAAATTTGAATCTACCCTACCTGAGGATGCTTCCATATAAATATGAACAATCTGGGCTTTGCTGTTCCTGAGAAGAAGATTTTTCCTATATATTTCTATGTAAAACTTTGATTCTCCATTGTGGCCCCGCCCTACCCCCAGGGGTCATGGTTTGAACAAACTTGAATCTACACTACCTGAGGATGCTTCCATATAAATATGACTCATCATGGCTTTGCTGTGCTTGAGAAGAAGATTTTTAAAGATTTTTCCTATATATTTCTATTTAAAACTTTGATCCTCCATTGTGGCCACGCCCTACCCCCAGGGGGTCATAATTTTAACAAACTTGAATCTACACTACCTGAAGATGCTTCCATATAAATATGACTCATCATGACTTTGCTGTTCTTGAGAAGAAGATTTTTAAAGATTTTTCCTATATATTTCTATGTAAAACTTTGATCCTCCATTGTGGCCCTGCCCTACCCCTGGGGGTCATGATTTGAACACACTTGAATGTACACTACCTGAGGATGCTTCCACATAAATATGATCAATCAGGGCTTTGCTGTTCCTGAGAAGAAGATTTTTAAAATTTTTCCTATATATTTCTATGTAAAACTTTGATCCTCCATTGTGGCCCCGCCCTACCCCCGGGGGTCATGATCTGAATAAATTTGAATCTACCCTACCTGAGGATGCTTCCATATAAATATGAACAATCTGGGCTTTGCTGTTCCTGAGAAGAAGATTTTTCCTATATATTTCTATGTAAAACTTTGATTCTCCATTGTGGCCCCGCCCTACCCCCGGGGGTCATGGTTTGAACAAACTTGAATCTACACTACCTGAGGATGCTTCCATAAAAATATGACTCATCATGGCTTTGCTGTGCTTGAGAAGAAGATTTTTAAAGATTTTTCCTATATATTTCTATTTAAAACTTGATCCTCCATTGTGGCCATGCTCTACCCCCAGGGGGTCATGATTTTAACAAACTTGAATCTACACTACCTGAAGATGCTTCCACATAAATATGACTCATCATGACTTTGCTGTTCTTGAGAAGAAGATTTTTAAAGATTTTTCCTATATATTTCTATGTAAAACTTTGATCCTCCATTGTGGCCATGCCCTACCCCCAGGGGTCATGGTTTGAACAAAATAGAATCTACACTACCTGAGGATGCTTCCATATAAATATGACTCATCGTGGCTTTGCTGTTCTTGAGAAGAAGATTTTTAAAGATTTTTCCTATATATTTCTATGTAAAACTTTGATCCTCCATTGTGGCCCCGCCCTACCCCGGGGGCCATGATTTGAAAAAAAACTTGAATCTACACTACCTAAGGAAGCTTCCATATAAATATGACTCATCATGACTTTGTTGTTCCTGAGAAGAAGATTTTTAAAGATTTTTCCTATATATTTCTATGTAAAACTTTGATCCTCCATTGTGGCCCCGCCCTACCCCCGGGGGTCATGGTTTGAACAAACTTGAATCTACACTACCTAAGGATGCTTCCATATAAATATGACTCATCATGACTTTGTTGTTCCTCAGAAGAAGATTTTTAAAGATTTTTCCTATATATTTCTATGTAAAACTTTGATCCTCCATTGTGGCCACGCCCTACCCCCAGTAGGAGTGAAACGGTTCACCGCGGTATCGATGCACCGCGGTATTTTTTCTCGGTTTGATACACGGCGCAAAATCTCTAATTTTCGGTTCGGTTCATTTTTCGGTTGGGATCGTTATTCAGTCGGGTTTGGCATAAGGTACAACACGTTACTCAGAATAAATAAGTATAGAAAACGTAAATTTTTGATGACTGATAGCTTGTAAAATAATTTTTGACAGTCAAATAATTTTAATCAATTTCTTCTAGTCAATTTGCAAATAAAATTCGTAAAATATGTGACTAGATTTAGACAAGAGGCCCATGGGCCACATCGCTCACCTGAGCATATTGGCTAGGAAAAAAAAGCAAAAATCAGTTTAGTATTGAAAAGTTAATGGGGGGGGGGGGGTGTTGAATTTTAAACTACCTGATGATGCTTTCATATCAATATAACAAATGGCATTGCTGTTCTTGAGCAGAAGATTTTTTCCCATATATTCATTTGTAAAAATTTGATCCCCCATTGTGGCCCCACCCTACCCCCAGGGTCTCTCATTTGAACAAATTTCATTCTACACTACCAAAGGATGCCTCCATATCAATTTTACTAATCATGGCTTTTCTGAAAAAAGATTTTTTCCTGTATATTTCTATGTAAAACTTTGATCCCCCATTGTGGCCCCATCGTACCCCTGGGCGTCATGATTTTAAACAAACTTGAATCTGCACTACCTGAGGATGCTTCCATATAAATATGACCAATCATGGCTTTGCTGTTCTTAAGAAGAAGATTTTTAAAAATATTTTCCTATATATTTCTATGTAAAAATTTGATCCCCCATTGTGGCCCTGCCGTACCCCCGGGGGTCATGATTTAAACAAACTTGAATCTGCACTACCTGAGGATGCTTCCATATAAATATGACCAATCATGGCTTTGTTGTTATTAAGAAGAAGATTTTTTAAAATATTTTCCTATATATTTCTATGTGAAACTTTGATCCCCCATTGTGGCCCCATCCTATCCCCAGGGGTCATGATTTGAACAAACTTGAATCTACACTACCTGAGGATGCTTCAATATAAATATGACTAATTATGGCTTTGCTGTTCTTAAGAAGATGATTTTTAAAGATATTTTCCTATATATTTCTATGTAAAATTTGATCCCCTTGTGTCCCCACCCTACCCCGGGGGTCATGATTTGAACAAACTTGAACCTAAACTACCTGAGGATGCCTCCATATAAATATGACCAATCATGGCTTTGCTGTTCTAAAGAAGAAGATTTTTAAAGATATTTTCCTATATATTTCTATGTAAAACTTTGATCCCCCATTTTGGCCCCACCCTACCCTCGGGGGTCATGTTTTAAACAAATTTTAATCTGCACTACCTGAGGATGCTTCCATATAAATATGACCAATCATGGCTTTGTTATTCTTAAGAAGAAGATTTTTTAAAATATTTTCCTATATATTTCTATGTAAAACTTTGATCCCCCATTGTGGCCCCACCCTACCCCTGGGGGTCATGATTTGAACAAATTTTAATCTGCACTACCTGAGGATGCTTCCATATAAATATGACCAATCATGGCTTTTCTGTTCTTAAGAAGAAGATTTCTAAAGATATTTTCCTATATATTTCTACGTAAAACTTTGATCCCCCATTGTGGCCCCACCCTACCACCGGGGGTCATGATTTGAACAAACTTGAATCTGCACTACCTGAGGATGCTTCCATATAATTATGATCAATCATGGCTTTGCTGTTCTAAAGAAGAAGATTTTTAAAGATATTTTCCTATATATTTCTATGTAAAACTTTGATCCCCCATTTTGGCCCCACCCTACCCCCGGGGGTCATGATTTGAACAAACTTGAATCTACACTACCTGAGGATCCACATAAGTTTCATCTTTCCTGGCCCAGTGGTTCTTGAGAAGAAGATTTTTAAATGATGCCATTATTTTTTCACTAATTCCTAATTATCTCCCCTTGAAAGAGGGCATGGCCCTTCATTTGAACAAACTTGAATCCCCTTCACCCAAGGATACTTTGTGGCAAGTTTGGTTGGATTTGGCCCAGTGGTTCTTGAGAAGAAGTCGAAAATGTGAAAAGTTTACAGACGGACAGACGGACGGACGGACAGACGGACGACGGACAAAAAGTGATCAGAAAAGCTCACTTGAGCCTTCAGCTTAGGTGAGCTAAAAAAGAAAGCATAAAACAACGTAGAATTTGTTTCCTTCTATCAAAATGTACCGTATAGAAAATAACCGAAACCGAAACAAAATTATACAATACGTATCGAACCGTGAAGGAGGTGTATCGTTTCACCCCTAACCCCCAGGGGTCATGGTTTGAACAAAATAGAATCTACACTACCTGAGGATGCTTCCATATAAATATGACTCATCGTGGCTTTGCTGTTCTTGAGAAGAAGATTTTTAAAGATTTTTCCCATATATTTCTATGTAAAACTTTGATCCTCCATTGTGGCCCCGCCCTACCCCCGGGGGTCATGGTTTGAACAAACTTAAATCTACTCTACCCGAGGATGCTTCCACATAAATATGACTCATCATGGCTTTGCTGTTCTTGAGAAGAAGATTTTTAAAGGTTTTTCCTATATATTTCTATGTAAAACTTTGATCCTCCATTGTGGCCCTGCCCTACCCCTGGGGGTCATGATTTGAACACACTTGAATGTACACTACCTGAAGATGCTTCCACATGAGTTTCATCTTTCCTGGCCCTATGGTTCTTGAGAAGAAGATTTTCAAATGATGCATTTATTTTTTCACTAATTCTTAATTATCTCCCCTTGAAAGAGGGTGTGGCCCTTCATTTGAACAAACTTGAATCCCCTTCACCCAAGGATACTTTATGGCAAGTTTGGTTGAAATTGGCCCAGTGGTTCTGGAGAAGAAGATGAAAATGTGAAAAGTTTACAACAACAACAACGACAACAACGACGACAGACAACGGACAAATTTTGATCAGAAAAGCTCACTTGAGCCTTTGGCTCAGGTGAGCTAAAAAGAAAATTAAATAATACCACTTGAAATAGCCTCAGGAATCCACTACACGAAAATAGAAAATCCGTATTACAGTAAATAAGGACCATTCCCCCTTCTTCCAACAGTTGCATTTGCTGGACTCTGACTTGTGGACTTTCGTCCTCTGGCCCACAGTAGTTTGGATTTGTAATGGACGATGAGTGAGGAGCAGAATCAGTTGTCCGTGACCAATCCGACGATTTGTCATCTCCATCTTCCGTGGACAGTCTCTCCATCTTCAGCAATCAGTGAAAGACAACTCGTGTCAAAGATCAGCAATACATACAAACCATACTGAGAGAGAAACACAGGGAAGAAAAAAGGCTTACAATTATGAACTTTCCTTATGTTAAAGAATTTTAAAAATCAATTTAGAAAATCCAGCATCTTCACATCAAAAAGCTGTCAAAAGCAGACGGATTTTTAGGGCCCTTGCTTCCTCATGCAATCTATCGTACACATCTAGCGTTTGCAGAATTTGTTATTAGTAATCAATTTACAACCATAAAATTTTCTTCATACTCATTCACCTTCAGAAAATAAACAAATAGCCTTTATTTTGTACAATTTATGAAATTTAATGATATAAGGGGTGAAAAATTGTATTCACGTGACTCACAAGATGGCTGCGCCCTGTTAAACTTGGCGGTTCAGAGTCAAAATAAAATGATCACAAAATATGAACGACAAGGAATATGCACCACTTAGTCCCCAGTGTGTTAGGAATTTAAACGATAAGTTGTATGAAAAAAGGAAGACCGGGGCTTTGGAAGTCGAGAGGTAAGTTCCTACATAGTTCAAGGTCGGCATTGTTACTTCTTACTGCAACTTGCAGTTACCTGTAACGTTAAAATTTATTTTCAGTACTGAAAAAATTAACAATTTTATTTATGTGAATAAATCAAAACCTTAGATAAATCTAAATGTCGATTATTAAAGAAATAAACATCTTGTCAACTTTGTAAATAATGTTGTGAACAGGTGAATTTAGTATGTAGTGGTCATGAGATTAAAGCATTCAACACAATGTCCTTCAACTTATATTGAAGCCTTGAAATAAAAAGGAAGATTTAAACTTGGTATCATTAGCTGAATTCAAACATTAAATTTCCTTTTGAATGCCACCTTGAAAATACAAGCTTGTTTACTTTCCTGGAGGATATTTTGTTTTCATGATTGTTTATCCATCTTTAGTATATAACAAAATACTTTCATTGAATTTCAATGAAAATAATAAGTGCCATAAGATATGTAGGAGAATCAAGTCAGATTTTGAAGCAGACAAAAGTGCTGTAAATTTATCTTGTGAATCATTTTAGGTCACCCTGGTGAACAATTAAACTCATATGTGATTGTGAAATTTTGAATGGTGTACGTGGTTCAAAAAATAACCTTTTCTTGGTAACTTCCTCTACATTTTTATAGATGGAAAACTATTGATGCATATGATTGCATGCATGCAATGCAGATGGACTAAAAGGTTTCAGAATGCCCAAGGAGCATGAACAGTATGGTTCATAATGACTAATGTCATTAGAACTGATCAACTAATTTTTTAAATTCTTTTAAGGTGAATTTAAATTCTGTAAAGAAAACATTCCATTATGAAGCAGCAATTTTACTGACTTTTTGTCAGTGTAATACCTTAAAGTTGTTGTTGTTTTTTTAAGGATGTATTTTTGCTTTTGGGTTGAACTTTTTTCCTTTGTTTGGACCATTTGTAGCAGAGCTTAATTAACTTGAGGAACTTATCTATGACATATAAGATGTATAAGTGACCTTTGTGTAAAGGCAGAGAGAATATGGAAATATTCCTGATTCTTAGGTAATAGGTGGACCTTTTGTGCACAAATATCTCCTCAAAGTTGAACCTTGTGACTAGAAACTAGGGATTAACAAAAAAATATGGACTTGTTTAAAGAGTTTATTTGAAGTAATAGATAGATAATATTAAAAAGTTGGAAGATATTTAAATGTTCTCATGAATTTGTAAAAGTCAATTAAATTAGGAGAAAAAAATTTTTTTTTTTGTACTTCGTATCTTTTACAGAATTTTGGACATATTTAAAGTAGGTATATCTGTATAAGTCCCATTATTTAATGATTATTTTATAGATTAGTCAGAGAGTATGTGATAGCAAATGAACCTGTGAAGATCAGGAGGATCCTGAAGATCCTGGGAGAAGATTTTGCGTTGTCCAACCATCCCAATGCCAGGAAAGGGGGAGCTATCGGGCTGGCAGCCACAGCTATTGGACTGGGAAAGGTGGAAGCTTTTTAAATTTGCTTTTGTTCATTCACTACAAATCCATAGAAGTTTACAGCTGTAAAGCTGTAACAAACAAGGAATACAGCAGCATCTTCTTTGGTTCCCCCTTAAATCTCAAAAACTCAAATATATCCAAATTTTATTACCAGATGCAAGAAATATATGAAAATTGATACCTCTGGACAGTTTCTTATAGTGGTAAACACCTACAAAGATTTAATCATGAAATACATTTAAGTGATGGTTTTAAATGTATAATTGTTATTTTATGACACTGTACTAGTTAATACTGTATACAGGGAAATTTTTGCCCCCGTTTTATTTTCGTCCCTTTCACCCTACTCTCATTTGGGCGAATTTAAAATTGGGTGAATTCAAAGAACACAGTAAAATTTCTTAAACAGAACTGTGACTGGGCGAATTTAAAATGGGACAAAATTGTTTGCAAGTGTGAAAAGGGCTAAAATAACATGCGGCAAAAATTACCCTGTATACAGTACTAGAGCATCATCTATTAATCTATAGGAATCTCAGCATTATGTGAGGGAGCTGGTCCAGCCTGTACTGGCTTCCTTCCACGATCCAGACAGTCGAGTTCGGTATTATGCTTGTGAAGCCCTGTATAACATTGTCAAGGTGTGCCGAGGCAACGTGCTGCCCTACTTCAATGAGATCTTTGATGGAATCAGTAAGGTAGATGGATGTCTCGTGTTGCCAATAAAATATTTCATTACTCGGAATGACAAGTTTTCTTCTAGACTCTGTATTAGGCTGTGTATTATTAGTTACATAGTTTTTTAGTGACAGGGTACGGGATGATACCTGGTTATTAAATTTCATACCTGGCGAGGCGAAGCCGAGCCAGGTATGGAATTTACAAACCAGGTATCATCCCGTACCCTGTCACTACAAAACTATGTAACGAATTTACCCCACCGATAAAATATTTATGCATTGTCTGTGGTTTGTAAAATTGTTTTTCTCACTATATATATGTTTCATCACTCATACAATGCCTATTTTGACGTCACGTTGTGTGACGTAATGTTGTTTTGCGAGTGTTTCGTGCTGTAATAACGTACTGACAGTTTTGAAGACTTTCAGTAAAAGGAGAAAAAGGTTCCATCTTCGTTACTTACATTAGTTAACTGTAACATTGTCAACAGACACTTGGCAAATCTCGTGAACTCGAGTTGTTTGAACGTTACAAAAGAACGATAACTCCGTATGGACCATGTATTGATTCTCAAGCGACTACCGGTAGGTGTAAGTGATACACCCCCTTTACGTGACAGACTTCAACCAATCGTAAGCCAGGATTTCATTGAAAAATCAACAGAGGTGGGGTAAAAAGTGATACATGATGTAGATTTAAAGCAACATCTTATTAATAATGAGACTTAAGTCAGGTATTTCAAAATTTTAAGAGAAAGAGTAAGAAAAAATTTTAAAACCTGTGATGATGATACATCATTATTTTTAATCAAGCTTTTATTTTTTCAACTTTCTAAAATACTTGGTAATTTTTCTTGTACCAGTATTTTTTTTTTTTTCCAAATTGATTTTTAAGAAATGATAGTAAATTTATGGGAGTTGTAAGTAACTGGTAACAAGCATTTAAATTTCACGGTCTTGGTAATTTGACTTAACCTCCAATTCAATTGTTATGAATTAGCTGATGTCAGACACTGACCAGAATGTGAAGAATGGGACAGAACTACTGGACAGATTGATCAAAGTAAGTATACATATTAAATAGAAGTATCCGCAGGTCTACGATAGGTTGATTTATATCAAAGGTAAAATTTTAAGTATGATATTTATTTTATTTAGTCACTGTGAGTTTTTCCTTTGATGTTTACCTGTTTATTTTGTTGTTACAAACTTATATTTTTTATTATAGGACATTGTCACAGAAAGTCCGTCCTTTGACCTTATGGCCTTCATGCCCCTTCTCCGAGATAGAATTTACGCAAAAAATCCAGAGGCGCGACAGTTCATTGTCTCCTGGGTATATGATTCTGTTATTTTTAGAAACTTTACCATTCTTGTAGTTCAGTTTTAAAGGTATGAAAAGCAAATATCTAGGGATATATATATGTAATTTGTTTATAATACTAATTAAATACCTTTTAGAAATAGAATTATTAAAACGCAGTTTTTTTTTTTTTTGATGCAGTTATTAGCTGAACCAGATGTAAAAAATAGTATTACATGTACTTATTTCCTCTGCACAGTTAGCAATATTGGATGCTGTACCAGATATAAACATGATAGTATTACATGTACTTATTTCCTCTGCACAGTTAGCAATATTGGATGCTGTACCAGATATAAACATGATAGTGCTACTCCCAGAATTCCTGGATGGTTTATTCAATATATTGGGGGATTCAAATCTAGAGATTCGTAAAATGTAAGTTACCATTATTTAGTGAATGAAATCATTTGAATTGTCTACAGAGGATTTTAATATAAAAAGGAAAATGATAATAGAATACACTACTAAAAATAAATGCCAATTCTTATACAGGAAATCATGACGTAAATCCATTTCCTGTTAACTTTTATAATAGCAGTCACTACTTGCAGAGCTATTATTTAAGCTGTTGATTTTCCTGTTTGTTTGACTTTTAAATTGTGCAATTCCAACACACAAAACTTTGCTTTTCTGTTTAGGTGTCAAGATCTATTAACTGAATTTTTGACTGGAGTAAAAAACAGTAATGCTGGGGTTAAATATGAAGGCATGGCTAATATTCTTATTATTCACTGTAACAGTGCAGGTAAGTACTTATTGATACTACAAAATATAGTAATTTGAAGTGCTTATTAATACTGCAAGTAATAGCAAGGTAAGTACTTAACTGATACATGTACTTCAAGTAACAATAATGATAAGTACATGAATTTATGTCACAAGTGTTCCAGACTGGCAATATTCTCATAACCAATTCTCATTTCTGATGGTTTGAAAATAAATGTGGTCTGATTTAATATTAAAAAAGTACACTTCATAATCATTTACTCTGTGCACTTTGTATTAAATAAAAGAAAATGAAGTAAGTACTTTTGATATATAGTCATGCAAGTTTTTGATTGCACAGATAAGGAAAATGCTAGTGCACTTTTTTCTATATAGGATTTACTGTGCTATTATTAAAGTGGGTATATACTACAATTGTGTTCAAAATGCAAGTATGGTACTTTTACACAAATCTTTGTCTGAATACTGTATATACAATGTATATCTAATACATGTACCTGTAATTTATGAAAGAATTGGTCATTCATGAATAATGTATTTAACTATTTATCAATTATGTACAAAAAATGCATCAAATAATTTCCTTCTTTCAGATGATCTCATTCAGTTTACAGCAATGACCTGGTTAAGAGAGTTCATAGGTCAAGCAGGTCGAACCATGATTCAGTATACACCAGGAATAATTAACGCTGTTCTACCAAACCTACAGGGTTCTTCAGATAAACAAAGAAAGTATCCTTTTACAGAATAAAAAGGAAGAAGTCAGGAAAACTTAACACTCTTGACTAGGAGGAAGCATTTCTTCAAGATATGGAAAAACCAGCCATACAATTTTACTCAGTATGGTATGAAATATGTGGGAAGCACAACGCTTAATCTAATAAGTGTGGGAAAGTGTGCCATTGACAATATTCTACAAACTAGATGTCAAATTTACAATCCTTAACAAGATTTAGTGTTGCTGAGGCAGCCAAGTCACTGAATGATGCATTGAAAGATCTTGTATCTGACACCGATGACATTCCTTCATTAGAAGAGGTCAAAGGTCAAGGGTCAGAAAAACTAAGTGAGGAGATGACAAACAACCTTTCAAGGTCATTTAACTTTTTATATTTTTTTTGTTTGTATGAAGAATTCAATATTGTGCTTAATATCATATATGTATTTCAGTAAGAAACTTCATTAAACATTTAACATACAGTGCATCTTTGATACACTCAATGGATTTTTTTTTTCATAATTAGAATTAAAGTCTATCAATATTATCAACAACAATGGTTTGCACATCCATGTGATTTTAATCACCATAAAGTGAATCACTCGAATCTTTAAAAAAAGTAACTGCTTACATGGACACCAGATCATCATAGATACATGTATTTATAATTTAGTTCCTCACAGCTGGATGTAAGGGAGGTAATAACTGTCATCTGTCAGATTCTAGGGAGGGGGAACTTTGGGACTAAGATAGCAGCCCTGGAGTGGCTGAGTCACATGCTGACTAAGGTTCCTAAGCGGACGTTTCAGTACGTGGACAGGTTCTTCCCTGTGCTGTTACAGACACTGTCTGATGAATCCGAAGAGGTACATAAAAAAATTATCAATTTTCTGTAAAATAAAGTTTTTTTTAAAAATTATATTGATTTCGTAAGATGTATACTATTTAGTAGATACATATGTACATATTTCGTATTATTTTTCCAAATTTGCTGGTCATATATTTGAATTGTTTGCATTTACATGGTGCTGGTATGAGTAAATTGCAAGGATGTAAATTAAATTTATTTGATACATGAGACAGTTATCTTTTAGTTGATGCTATTTTTATATACTATTAAAAGTTAATGGTGAGTTAAATTACCATTCATGTGTGCAACTTGACCCTTGTTTCATCTGGGAAATGGCTTACATATTTCACAAAATACCCATGTAAAGTGGTTATGAACAAGAATTTGTTTTTCAGTGAGAAGAAACTATAGATATATATGTAAATACATTTTTTAGGTTGTACTTTTGGACCTTGAAGCCTTGGCGGAGATTTCCTCCAATCCTGCTGGGCTTCAGAAGAAGCCCCCTCCATCAACAAGTCCCAGTAAATCTAAGCCCCATGATCACCCGGAGAACTGTGGCGGACTTAATGAGTACTTCTCCAAGTTCATGGCTTGTCTGGTGGAGCTGTTTAAGAAGGACAGACAGCTTTTGGAACCAGATGAGCGGGGATACTTTATCATTAGGTAAAAGTTTCATTATCAGGTTAAAAAATTCTTTTCGTCAGATAAAACTCTGTTATCATGTAGTTTGTTATGAGGTAAACTCTTTAGAATTGACTTAATCTTGATCACTATTGATTATCACCAGGATGAAACATTTCAGCATCAAGTAAAAATCAGCAGCAGAAAAAAGCAGAGATTCTATGTAATACTATGCTTATTTCTGCATTTCATAGCTGATGGTTCTTTTTACTTAATTTTGGAGGAATTTCTATCCTGAATTCATTACTTGATTTTAAAATTAGTTGTCTTGTATGCTAATTTTTAACTGCAAAACAATTTATACCTGGTAGCAAGTATATCCATTTTTAGAGAGTACACATTTTTGAAAGGTACTGTACATGTACAGTCAAACTTTATTATCTTGAACTTGATGGGACTGAGAAAAAACTGAGATATCTAAGGGTTCAAGATATTGAGGGTAAAATAGATCATGGAAAAGTGGTTTGGACTTCCAAATGACTTTGATATATGGTGTTTGAGATATCAATGTTCGAGATACAAAAGTTCAACTGTATTTGTATGTTGGTCCATTTTGTGTGTGTTTTAATTTTCTTCGTGTTTTTAGACAGTTGTGCCAGCTCTTGACAGCAGAGGACATTTTTAAATCATTTTCCCACATTATAGTGGATGAACCTGATGTAGGGTTTGCCTGTAAAATTGTTCAGACCCTGAACACCATTCTTTTAACATCCACCGAGCTCTTCGAACTGAGGACACAACTCAAAAATCTAGATACTCAGGTTTGCTTATTTCAAAACAATCTTCTGCATCTATGAGATTAATTATTTGATTTGATTTTTTTTTCACTGTGAAGAAAGCTTTGAAATGAAGATATAATTAAAGCACTCAGATGTTGTGTTAACCAAGATTAATTTCTTCTAATGCTTTTCAAAATGAGAGGTTATGAGCATAAATGATTTGAAGGTCGCATTGGAGATATATCAGTTTTCTTTCTGGCACACACTAAAAAGTAACACTGAACAGAAAGGACTGAGGGCATACATGTCCTTCAGACTTACTTTTTAAACTTCTGGTAAATGTCTTTTAATTTGATCCACTTCTAGAGTAATACATGTATATGATACATATGAAATGTGTTCTATATTTACAGGGAAGCTGTGCTTTGTTTTGTTGTTTGTATAAATCTTGGTGTCATAGTCCCATAGCAACCATATCTTTGTGTTACCTGACCCAGAACTATCACCATGCCAGCGACCTACTACAGGCCTTGTATCCTTTTGTGCTATCTATAAAAAAATAAACTATAGGATAAAAATAGAAGTAGGTTAAACAATACACATGAGGCTTTTATATGAAAACTTTGGTGAATTGGACATTGGTTTTATATAAATAAATTATGGAAAGAGGTTCAGAACAATAAGGTATTGAAGGTCTCAGGAACTAATAAACTCTGTTTGATGCTCAGTGAATGGAGCTGTGTTACAATTCTTGTAAAGAGTCATTGATAGAATGTTGATCATTCTCTCGATGTCTGATGAGTTTGTATGATGACTCTTTAATTAATTAATTAATCATTATCCTTAATGTGAAATCAGTGGTGATCTAGAAATCACTGTGGACTTCCTGAAGGAAATAGACAAACTTGTTCAACTAATTGAATCTCCTATATTTTCTTGTGAGTATCATTATAATCATACATAAACACATTTTTGAATGTGATTTGTATATCTACTGTTATTTTGAGTTATTGAGAAATCACAGTTTTATTTCTGTGATTATTAGATTTACGGCTTCAGTTGCTGGACGTTCAACATAACCAGGACTTGATCCGGAGTCTGTACAGTTTACTGATGCTGCTTCCACAGTCCGAGGCCTTCAAACTTCTACGTAATAGACTAGACTGTATCCCCCAGTATCAACTCATGGCTATAAAGGATAAGTACGTACTTAGTAGTATACTTCTTTAAGTCAAAAAAAAAAAGATTGTCTTGCTGCATGTTTTGATAGTGATATCTATTTGGCAAGCATTCATATTTATAAAGTTACGATCTTTAATTTGGTCATCAGAAAATAACCTCATTCATTCCCCTATTTTGTATTTAGAAATAAATACAGTGAAAACTGTCTAATCTGACACCTGTGTAATCCATGTCACTGTGAATTCTAACCTTTATTTCCATTCCCATTTTATTATTTCCATGTTCTTTACATTGTGTAATACGACACCCTGTCTATTCTGACTTTGTCTCCCAATGCATGTTGGATTAGATGGTTTTACTGTACTTTTTTAAATTTTGCATTATGTAAAATGTCTTTTTGGCATATGACTACTTGATAACATTGTTAATTCTTTCTTTACAGTAAATACTTAACTTTAAAGAATACAAACATTATTTCATCTTGATTCACCAACGACTGTCAGAGTTTGTTTTGCTCTTTTTCTTCAGGCCCCAGTCCTCTAAAGACCCGAGACCACTTGTGTCTAAAATCAACTTCAAAGACCTGCATCAGCACTTTCTACAAGTTCAAGCTAGGCACAGAGCAGCACGCAGCCAGAAAGTCAAGGCAGCGGTCAGGGCATGAGGAGAAGGGCATTAAACGCACAAAATCTATACTACAAAGCACCTGGAAAACCACTACAAAACACTGAAAACTGCTCTCAGACTCCGAGACATTGTAGTTATACTGAAAAGAAATTCACTGTCTTTGCATGGAAATTTGCCTTTTAAAGCAAAAATTCTGTTGTTTGATATATTTACAAGTACATTTTTGTACATAACTAGTACAGGTACTAGTTTCTATTGTAAGTGTATGAAGAAAGAATTATTATCATGGGTATTAATACATCTAGTTATGATAATTTTATTAACAATTTCCAGGTAAATAAGATTTACAATTCCATAATAAATGGGATATTTAGATTCTAAACATTGTTCTTAATTTTGTACATCCTTGTTTTAAGCCTTTATACTAAAAACATACTTTTTTCCACTGGGGGATAATTCTGCAGATTCACAATTTCTGTTTAATCTGGGGGAAGAAGTTTGTGACTGTGTATATGTGTAAATTAATCCCACGTGGAAAAACGTGCATGTACAGTATTGAAATGCTATAACCCATCAAATTTTTTATTGGATTTTTTAAAAGTGATATCCATACCAATGGTGAAAATTACTGTAATGTAATCTGTAGAGGTTTTTGCTTGTGACTTATAAGTATAATATTTTGTAGAGCAGAAAAGTCCCTGTAGATACAAGTGTACCAGTGAAGAGGAAAAAATGTGTGTAATGCGCGAGACTTGGAATGAATGTGTTTGTATTGAGAGATGATCCTGTGCAATATCTCTGTTATGTGTATTAAGCTCAGTTTTAAGAGCAAGCAGAAAGATAAAGGGGTGAGGCCATTGTTAGAAATGATATAAAGGCCAGCAATAATAAAGGTGTATTTAACTTTTTGTTTTTTTTTTACCCTGCACAACTGGTGAACTACAGATATAGTGATTTGCTAGGTACAGACAAAAATATATCTGTTATTTGTTATATTCACAATTCATTATATCTGTAATTCATTTTATTGATAATTCATTGTACATGTATTTATAATTTGTTTTATGCATTACCGGTATTCTTTTTTGGATGATTTAAACTTCTTCGGGAAAAAATATAACATCATTCAAATTAGGTATTCACATTAAGTTATTGGTGATAAATACTGTAAAACTTGTCTTATCTGGATGTTGGGTATTCCTAAGTCTCACTTATTATGATGTAAACCTTGAGTCCTTTCATTTGAAATGCTGTCTACTCAGAAAAGTTACTTAATCCAGCAAACTTCTCTGAAACCAGTGGTGTCCAGATTAGACAAGTTTTACTCTACATAGTACATTTTTCTTTGTTTCAACAATTTTTTTTCATTTGGAAAGGATCCTTTATCCCAGGACTTTTTAATGCATGTTCATTAATTTGATGGTTTTCATTTTATGAAAGGAAAGCTTTCTGATTTTTTAAATGAAATGCACTTGTAAGTTTGAGTATTTATATTAGCAAAGTTTTATTTGTTGTGCACTGTTTGATCAGAGGGACATTATATCAATCTTTGGTGCAAACTTTTTTGTCTTTAGCAATCATTCCACAGAGAGCATCTGGTAGTATGTAAACAATCAGAAATGCTTTTTTTTCATATACATTGTACAAGTATCTTTGTTGTGAACTTTTCATAATTGATTTTTAAAAATATATTTATTGAATACATTAATATGAGTTTTTTTCCTTTTGTCTATCATAAAAAAGTAAATATGGCACACAAGAATTTTATTATACCAACAATGATAAACGTGTGATGAAAACTGACTACAGAAACAGACACACAGAGAAATGTATCACCTGGTTCATCAGTGGGTAACATCGGAAACGAAAGCATGACGTCTAGTCAGGAAAATGATCAGAGAACTACTATGCTGAGAAGCTACCTTCTGAGACCAAGCAAGAACATCAACATAGCAGCATGGAATGTGCGGACTATGTTTGAAAGTAGCAGAACAGCATTTTCTGGACTGCCGATGGCAAGAGAAAAAGGAGCAGGCCAAAAACAACATGGCGAAGAACACCAGAAAATGAGCTGAAAGAGATAGGGTTGACATGGAAGGCAATAGAAACAAAAGCAAATGATAGGACTGGGTGGAGGGACTGTGTGGCTGCCTTATGTGCCAACTGGCATGAAGAGGCCTAAGTAAATAAGTAACAATGATAAAAGTTAGTCATTACTATAGAGCAAAAAAGTTAGTGGTTGTCATTACTAGAGAATATCAATCAACTGTAGCGTTAGGTTGACAACTTAAGGTCAGTGGTTGTCATTACTACAGAATACCTGTCCAATGTACAGTTAGGCTGACAACTTTAGGTCAATGGTTGTCATTACTAGAGAATATCAATCAACTGTACGGTTAGGTTGACAACTTAAGTTCAGTGGTTGTCATTACTAGAGAATACCTGTCCACTGTACAGTCAGGTTGACAACTTTAGGTCAGTCGTTGTCATTACTACAGAATACCTGTCCACTGTAGAGTTAGGTTGACAACTTAAGGTCAGTGGTTGTCATTACTAGAGAATACCTTTCCACTGCAGAGTTAGGTTGACAACTTATAAGGTCAGTGGTTGTCATTGCTAGAGAATACCTGTCCACTGTACAGTTAGGCTGACAACTTAAGGTCAGTGGTTATTTCTATAGAATACCTTTCCACTGCAGAGTTAGGTTGACAACTTAAGGTCAGTGGTTGTCATTACTACAGAATACCTGTCCACTGTACAGTTAGGCTGACAACTTAAGATAAGTGGTTGTCATTACTAGAGAAAACTTGTCCACTGCACAGTTAAATGTAGGTTGATAGCTTCAGAACTGTAGCATTATGGTTTTATATTTTATTCTTTGATCATAACGCTACGTAATATCCCATAATGCAAATATGTTGCAATTTACAGAAATTTTTTTTCTCACTTTGGGGATGTATTTTGCCATTTTCTAGCATTGGTCAATCAACAATCTTTCATTCCCTAATTTTATACATATTCTATAACCAACCTGTATATTTTATCCACCTCCTAACCCTTTGTAGTCATCTCTACAGACCAATAAACTCGCTTGTTGTGAATTTTATGCCATCCAAAAACAAATTTACAAGCGAGTTTAATGGTCTGAAGAGATGACTAGAAAGGGTTAGGAAGTGGATAAAATATACAGGTTGGTTATAGAATATGTCTTAGAATTAAGGAATAAAATGTCGTTGATTGACCAATGCTGGGAAGTGGAGAAATACATCCCCAGCCGTGCGCAGAAAATATTGCACCGTGAATTGCACCATATTTGCTTTACGCCGGGATCTGTAGCATTATGGTCAAAGACTAAAATATAAAACCATAACGCTACAATTCTATAGCTAGTAGGTTGACGACTTATGGTTAGTGGTTGTCATTACAAGAGAATACCTGTCCATTGAACAATTAGGCTGACAACTTAAGGTCAATTGTTGTCATTACTAGAGAATACCTGTTCACAGTACAATTAGGCTGACAACTTACGGTGAATTGTTGTCATTATTAGAGAATACCTGTTCACTGTAGAGCAAGGTTGGCATCACAAGGCCAGTGGTTTATTACTAGAGAATACCTGTCCACTTATGCAATAGTTAAAGCTTTTATATTAAACATACTGTAAAAGCAGAAATATTCGTGAGGGATTAAATTTCCTTTATTTCGTTGTTAAGAATTATCAACGAAATTAAATCCCACACGAAATTTTTTACGACTATGTACCGGCATTGAATAGGGTTACTTTCAAAACAATGAAATAAAATGCCCACTAAACTATTTTACATCACAAATCAATGAAATTTTATCCCCATGAAATGTGCTTCTACAGTATATTTTGACAAAATTGATGAGGGTAATTAACAGTTTTTGGGAAGGGCATCAACATAACAAATTTTGTAGAGTATACAGAGATGGAGTAAAGATCATTATTTCCTATGTAGTTTGTAACAGGTCCAGGTCCAATCAAGGGTGTACGGGGATTTACCCCGGGTTATATTCCATACAACCTTCGGCCTCAGGGTGTATGGAATAAAACACAGGGTAAATCCCTGTACACCCTTGATTGAACCTGGTTAACTAATATTGACCACAACAAACCTTAGTGTTTTAAAACAGTTTAATATACAAAGTCTTAAAACATGATTTACACTTGTTTCATAATTATTGCTGGATTAACAGCTTATTATTGCTAACATCAGATAGAGCTGTTTCATACAGTCGCAGAATTAATATGAAAACAAAATCTGTAACAAAATGCTAGAATATGGTGTAAACTGTGTTCCAACTTTAAAACTCAGAAACAGAGTCCTTTCCTTAGCTTCACAGAAGTCTGTAGGACTGATATAATTAAAGCTACAGTATAGTTGTGTAAATAAATAAGTGTACACTATAAAACTATATATATACATATCTTACAGTGGATGGAATCTTTTAAAGCTTTCATAGTTAAACAAATTTTTAAACCTAAAATAATGTCAACATTTTTAGTGAGTAGAAAAATGAATGAGACAAATTCTATGTAAAGGTCAAAATGTGGATTTGTTCAATTGGTTGTGTTCTACATAGTAACTATAATCGTTTCAGTATTTTAAAATTTCTAAAAAAAGGAAGGTTAAGATAGTCAGGAAAGTTACATAATGGTACATATATTCTTTCTATAGTAGTTCTATCACCAAATGGATTTAAAAAAGGTGTATAAATGCTTAAAGCATATTTTCAACAGATATATTGAGGAGAGCAAGAACACAATGGAGATACTAAATGCAACAGCTCTGGCTATAAATAAGTGTTCATTCATAAACTTTACATTTTCAATCATTCATGTAACATACGAAACTCCTTGGCACATAGCTATTATTTTAAAAAAATATTTACACTATGTTTATTAACTACATTCAGTCATCCTTATGAAATAAATACTTCCATTTCATGAATATAAAAGGTCTTGTGGCATGTACTTCAAAACAAATGATTTTTATTTAAAGACTCTTTTTTTCCCCTATCTCACAGATATGAATTACTCAACTACAATATTTATTAATTAGTAACATTTATCAATTGCATGTATTTGTTACAGCATTTTTAATAATAAATGCATGTTTTTGTTAACTTGGTTAAAAAAGTAAAAAAATAGAGGTAGATCACAGCTATAAATAGACAAGGGAAATACCATAACACATGGCACGTCAAAATGACTTAAGAAACTGACAAGATTTTAATTTAGTATAATCTACAATTAGTTTGACCTTTTATCATAATATCTCTGATTAGTGTATGTAATATCATTCTAAGCCTTACTTAATCTCATTCAGAATTTCTATAATCTTTCTGAAATTTTTCATAATGATATTGGGTAATCAATGAACAAATTAAGAATACCAAATAAAATAATGACTCACGTGCATTATATGTTTCATGCTATAATTTCATAGCAATGATTTAAAATGATAAAATTTACAGGAAGACATCTGTATTTGATTACAAATTTTTGTTTATTTACAATTTAGACTGAAAAAATGTTTATAAATTTAAAAATTGCACAGATCATTAAAACACATATCAACAGTTAGGTCATTTTCATTTCACTTATTGAAAAACTGCTTGATATTGAGAGACAATGTGGAAAGATTAAGCCCCTCCCCCTTTTCCTCTTCCTGGTCGGGGCTGGGCGGAGTTCCCTGTCCCTTATTAATACGAGCAATAGAAGTCCTACTGGAGCGAATGATCTCCATGATCATGGATTTACAGTCACAACACACACTCATCTGGGGACCCTTCAGCAGGTTCTTGTTTGGCAGAGCGGGGGCTGACCCCGCCCCTATTGTGTGGGACCTCTGTAGGGATTTCCGTTTTGGCGTCACATTCTCTATCTCAGGTTGAGCCTTCCGTTCTGAGCAAGGTGTGTGTGGAACAGACCCAGTGCTGTAAATTAAAAGGAATATTTCAGTATGTACATGTATGACGAGACTCAGTTTAATTATTTAGTGAGTCAGGTTTTTTTCCCTACCTTTCATAGACTTTGAGGACGTCAAGGATATCCTGACTAAGCGGGATAGGACTGAGGGTGTGTACAGGAATATTCTGGAAGTGTTCTGTAGGAATGTTCATCTGAAATACACACCCACATTATTATATATATATATATGTACATAATTATTACAAAATTTAGTATGTACATTTCAAGTTGCTGCAACCTTTATTAATTCCTTTCAGAGTTTAAAACTACCATGACCCCATAAAACTTTCAGAGCTTAGCAATAAAAAAAAATATGTCCTTTGTAGAAAATTTTATATATCATATGAAAATAACATTTAAGAAATTTGAAACATTATTTCATCTCTGTACCCTGTTTCACTAAAAAAAAAAAACATGATAAATTTTCCTGGAAATGTATATTTTACTCCTTTGACTTTGGGCATATCTCCGAGTCACATCAGAGTTACCTACCTTTCTGAGACAGTTGTTACACACATTGCGTTTACAGATCTTACATCGTGTTCCCCATTGACCAAACATGGAAAATTTCACCAACTTACAGGTAAAACACACCTGTCATATAAAAAATCAATTAGAATACAGTGTATTAATTTTTTCCCCCAAAACTATATTGAGAGAAAAGAGAGAGACAGATGCATTCTGACATTATCATTTTTTGTAGGAAAGGGGATTGGGGGGGGGGGAGGATTTTACCTTTCCTTTGGACACCAGATTGTACATTTCATGGTTGGTAATTAACGTCTCCAGCTCAGCCTTTGTTAACACCTGTCGGATGTGAGTGACCTCCTCTAAGGTCAAGGACAAACACTCAATGGGATGTTTCCACTTCTATTTAAAGATCAAAGACATAAACTTATTAAGCATTATTGCAGAGGTATTTTATGGTTTTGTATGAGTGTTCCCTGGATGGAAGATGATTTGTGCTGTTAGAAGGTTTCATTACTTAAACCCTCCAGGAAACAAAACTGAAACTTGAGTTTAATTATTCCAAAACCATCTCAAAAAAACTAAATTCAAATTTCACTTCATGATATTTTTTAAAAATTATTTTATTTATCTGCAATTCATAATTTTATAACTCAATAAACAATAATATAACTCAAGTTTCCATTTAACAAAAACCACAAATCCAGTGTGAAATTAATCCAGCTCAGTTGTCAAAGTTAGAAAATTGTGGACATTCATAAAGTCAATAAAATTAATCATAAAATTTTATTATGACATTGTGTGACATCATAGCGCTTCATACATTTTTAATTTATCTGTTCCATCTAGTGCAAAAATGTGGCATTAATTCTTAACTCACTGAATGTTATTTGTTATCAAGTTCATGTTAATCAAGAATTTAAAATAAGTTAATTGAATTAAAAAACAAGTTCAACAACATTACAATGTTGACTTAATTCACAAAATACACTTATTATAAGGTTAACATTGACCAAAGGTTGTGCACTCCAAAGCCATGCTATGAACATAAATGGAAAATAATGAATAAAAAGGAATTGTAAATTTTGATGCGTGATAAATAATCAAAAAATGAAACTTTCATTAGAGCAGAGAAAAAAATGTTACTAGATGAAATAATTTTCAAATTATAAAGTATAACTGATTAAGATATATAATATAAAATGGAATGAACTAAAAAAAATGAATTGATGAAAATGAAAAATGTATCAAAAAATGAGGGATAGCATTGTAATTGTTATACTATCATGCTAATAACTAAAATATATCTCATATTTGTTTGCTTAAAAATATCAAATGCACTAGTGCAGAGTCTGAAAAAACTATATATCTAACAGTTAACTGACTCGTGTATAAGCCTACATCTACACAGACTGAAGAATAAGAATTCGCCTCTACCCTAGTAAAGAGGAGGGTAAAGGGCCAATGAAGAAAACTTTTTTTTTTAATTAAATCTCCAAAATATTTTGTGATTATATTATACAAAATTTATTTTAAAATACCCTTTTCCCATTTTAGTGTTCTTTTGTATTTATTTCTACCAAAAAGATCTCTAAACTCTTGAATTTAAAAAAAAATTCTAAAATGTTTTTAGAAAAGTAATCACTGGAACATGTATACCAGATATGTATATTAAACAACACCTAAACAACATCTATGTTATAAATTTAAATATATATTACTTATTTTTAAAAAAAACAAACACATTACCAATATGAATTGTAAGTATTTGACAATATGCTGCTGATAATTTGACTGAAAATAAAAATATAAAAACTTTCATTGACCCTTGACAAACCAGCTTTTTGTTCTGAACTTCTGGAAAATAACTTGTAGCACTGTTATTAGCCTGTTCATATGCACAACATATGCTCAATACTAGATAATTTTAAATTCAAAATCCTTTCTGAATTAAGTTCTTCCCAGTAAATTTATTTTCCAGACATTTTTTTCTTTTAATCCAATCAACAATTTATACTAGATTTTTTTTTAAATGAAAAAACATTTTTACAAGATAAAAACTGAATTGTGCCTAAATGAATAAAACTATAAATTTGTGATTTTAGCATGGATCCCTTAATATTATCTAAATCCCCCCCCCCCCCCCAAAAAAAAAAAAATTAAAATAAATTCTATAAAATGTTGATTGGATGAGTTCCTAGAAACACGAACATCATTTTACATTACTTCAAAGAATTTAAATTCTAAATCTTTTATTCTGACTGTCAGATATCAAAAGAGATTTAATAATGATCTCAGAAGAGAGACTCTACGTTTTTGGCCTATACAGATAGAAATGAGGTAGTTGGTGTTTCTAGGAGAGAGGTTGTCAATAGCAAGCATTAGATACTCACAGCTGAGTCAGAGTCTGTAGATGAGGAGGAAGGAACACCGTTAGTAGACACAGCCCCAAACATGGGGCTGTCACTTACATGAAGCAACTCAGACACATTCAACTCCGACAACTTAGGCGAGCGTTCGGGACTCTCCCTGTCTTTCACTTTATCTGGGATTTCTGAATTCACTTCCTCTTCCTGGTGGATGGGCTTCAGTAACTCCTCTGCTTCCTTCCGATACCGCCCAAGCATTATTCCCCTACTGACAGGGGTAGAGGTTGATGTATTCACCTCTGGAATTATTGCACTGCTACCACTAAAGTCTGTGGAGTGACGATAAAAGTTCCTTTGACTCTGAGACCTATTTACAGCCTGAAGTTTACTTCGTCTCTGCACCGGCTCAGCTGATGATATCACTGGCGATAGAGGAGTCAACTGAACCGAGGGCTTCTCACCCTCCTCACTGTGATTTAACTGAACAGACCTCCTCACTTTCACTTCCGGCTTTGGAGATTCCAGGTCATTATTATGGCCTTTATCACTACTGGATTTCCTGTCTGGTGTTACAGATCTTTCACTTTGTCCTTCTCCACTGACATGTGTGGATCGTCGAAGTGGAACTCTGTCTTTTGATTGTCTAAGGAATTTATCACTTTCTGTATTTTGCTGAGTTGCTTCCTCTTCAGACCTCCTTCTGTGTCTGTGACTATGATGTGAGCGGCCGTCAGATTTCACAACCTCACTATGAACACTTTCATCCCTTCCTTCTCTTCTGTGTCGCCGTGGTGACTCTTCTTTGTGGTGAGATTCCTTGTGTCGTCTGCTGGGTGATGATGAATCTCTGTGTCTTCTGCTGGATGGAGAAGATTCACGATGATGTCTTCTTGATGACTCCTCTCCTGATCCTTCTGAAGTCCGTCGTCTTGGCGATTTATCACTGCGTCGACTTGGTGATTTGTCACTGCGTCGATTCGGAGATTTTTCACTGTGTCTAGATGACCTTCGAACTCTTTCACCTGAAGTCTCTCCCTCCACTGAGGACAAAGTTTCTGAAGATTTCCTCCTTACTTTTAATTCAGCTACACTTGAGTGTCCTTTAGGAATAACTTTACTGCTTTCTCTATCAGAAATCACACGAGACCTTGTGGAGTCACTGTCTACTTCTTTGGTTTCAGAGTCTGACTGTGGTCTTGTTAACAATGAATTACTCCTTGTAATGGAAGTCCTTGGTGCTGGTCTTGGTTTTGGCTTTGGAGAACTGTCTTCTAACTCTGTTGTCTTAGGTTTGTCACCTTCCTTGATGTCAATCTTTTGTGAGGAAACTTCATTAGCATGTTGAGATCTTGGAACATTCCTTGCTCTCACAAGTACTGACGGTTTCATGTCTGAAATACTCCTTGCCCTTACCATAGGGCGGGGTCTTTCTTTAACATCTGAACTTTTTGATTTTGAAATAGTTTGTGAACTGCTTCCTGATTCGGTAATGGTTGCCGATCTTTTCAAACTCTGATACTGAGAGCGAGTTATAGGCATGCGTAAACCCTGAGATCTATCAAAAACATAATCTTCAGATATATCATTCTCCTCAGAAACAGAATTAAAACCACATGCAGGATCATGCAAGGACCTAAACTCAACACTGTCTTCTTCATGAATGCCATGCAATGGAAGAGACATTCTTTTCTGTCTGACATCATTCACACATGCACGAGACTTAGACACAGGGGCAGATCGTCTCAATTTGCCACGAGACTCATGCAATTTATGTTCTGTGGCATCTACTTGTAGCTGGGCTGTGCTGCGGGGGGTAGAGGGAAATACCTGGGGTGACTCACAGACCATGATTGTGTGACGACGTTCGAGGTTACCATGGCGTTCAGTGGTAGCTACATCACGTACAACTGAAAGACATGAGGCTTTTCATCAGTTTATCTAACTTCTTATCTAAAACTCTGTTGATGAACAAGTCATTATTGTACCACCGAACTATTTAATTTACAGTCTCCAATTACTGAGCTTTTTAGTTTTACTATATATGCATCTACAGTATGAAACATAAATCACTAGAACTCAGTTAATGTATATGTATATCACTAGAACTCAGTTAATGTATATAATTGTTTTTCTGAATCAATGCAGTGACAGTTTACCGGCCCTTCGCCATCTGGTGCTGTCTTTTTCTGGAGAGGGAGAGCTGATACTTGAGTGGGAGGATCCCATGCTGGAGTCATTATCATTCTCAGATTCCTAAAGCCAAACAAAAAATACAATAATGAACATCAATGGAGAGTACACTTAAACACAGTTAGCCAACATTTCTTCCCTTATTAAAACAATGTTCTGAAGCTTCATCCCTGAACTTACATCAAAACTGTCGAGGAAGAGTGTGAAGTCTGGCTTGATGACCTTCCTGACCGGCTGAGGACATTCCTCCTCATCCTCATTATTTAGCTTTGTCCTCGAAGTTTCCACTGAAAAAAAAAGCAGGAGTTATCTAACTTTTGACAATACCACTCCCATGTTTGGAAGCCAGCAATGAGCATGCTCCAACTCCATAAAAAAATAACAAAATGAGTTACTCCCCCCCCCCCCCCCCCCCTAGCTCTTTCTTTGATTTTAATTTATATATTGCAAATCAATGGCTAACAAATCAGTCAATGCCCCCCCCCCCCCCCCCCCCCCCCAATCTTTTTCTACCTTGAACAGATATCAATATAACCTTGACTAACATGTATAAACTTAAATCATTTTCTTTATTCTTGTAAACTTTTTTTTACATAATTACCAAGACCATCTGCTTGTGAATATTTCAATCTCACACACATCTGTATTGTTAAGGATTATATTATATTATTATAACTTTACATTAACAGATTTCGTGAAAATTTTGTCTTGCTTATAAATACCAAACACTGGTAACAGGAAAATAAGGTGACACAAAAATTTGGTGATCTATAGTTTCTCCTGGATTTATTTCCCTGCCCTACCTATTTTCCTCTCTTTGGCTGGCCTCAGTTTGGGTTTTGACCTGATTTCTTGTAAGATCTGTTCCCGAGGCTGCAGTTCTATCTTGGGTGGGGAATTCAACACTCTCTTTTTCACCTACAATAGAAGATTGTCAACCATCAAGAATGAATTACCTCCACGCTTGTCTTTCCTATGGTATCCATAATTACTGGTACATGTAATACCATTGTCTGTTGTTTGACTTGTACCACAACCTTCTATTTCATATCATTTTTTTTTCAAACATAAGAACTCCTAGGTGCTGCTATAGCTTGGTTGTTACATTATTACAGTAGTTGTTTTAAATAATGACATTTTGCAGAGCAATTTCATTGTAAACAATTTGATTTGCTGAGAGAATCTTTTTTTCACACTTGAAAATGAACAGCTTATTTCCAGCCTGTCTGTGTTTAACATTTCCTACATCCATTTTTTCTAATGGTGTGCTAAAAAAAAATTGTGAAGAAAACAACTTGTTGCACACATACTAAAATCAGTGTACTTTAACAATTTTATTAATGCATTACCACTGCAAGATATGTCAATCACATTTGAATAATGTAATAAATTCTATTTCAAGGCTAACTGCATGGCTGCCTTTGACACCAATGACATACTGCTCTATAAGGTGATAGATTTTTGTTTTAATGATGCTTGTCAGCTGTCAATGTATTAAATCTACATGATAGCTCTCACATATGAATTAAAAGAAGTTTCATGCTTGTAGGATTGTACACCATTGTGGCACTAGGATGAATATGGACAGATTCAAGCAACCTAAAAATTTGAAGTCAAGGATGGCACCTTGATAAATGATTTTCTGCCATCTTTTAACAAATGTCCTACCTGAAAAGCTAAAGTAATATGTCTAATACTCAGAAAAAGCTTCCTTGTGATATTGAGTTTAAAAACACACAACCAATGACAGTACAGGCATGCAAATGCATATACAATAAATCTGGAGACAGCCATGTCTTTTACCTGTTCTGGGGACATGCCACCATTTTCTAGCAATGAAACAGGATGGGGTAAAGAGGTTAACATTTCCAAAATCACTACAGAGGATTCTGGAGTTACTAAGATCCCTCCCTAAACCCCTGACAATACACAGCGTTACTGCTTCACCCTGGTAGAGCCTGGCTATTGTCTGATCTCTCCAGATAAGACAGATTCTAACCTCTACAGAACAGATGTCTATACTTTGTCTGTGAACTGGCAGATTTCAGAATTGTTACTCTTTTAAACATTAATTGTTGATGTTAAAACACTTATCATGTTACAGCTGGTATTATAATTATTACATAGTTGTTCATCAGTCAGTATACCCTTATTTTTGTTAGGAATTAAACTGCTGGACTTGAAACCAAATGTGTCTATGTATACCTATATAAATGTTTATTTACAATAATTTAAATATAGCCAAAAACACAATCCAAATTTCAAATTCAACAAATAAATCACATGCAGTTAAGAACAACAAACAATTCCTATAATTCATAAGTTCCATCTATAACCTCAAACATCACATAAACCAAAATGTAGTGGACACAGAAAACCATCAGTAGTGGTCAGTCAGACAGGTGTTTTATAGTAATCAGTGGTCATTACTGGTCAAACTACAATGTGTATATATCTGTTATAGTCTGTCAGGATATTGTTCGTAGGTTAACAGTGACATAAATAGTCAACAACAATTCTGTGTAATACTGTTAATTAAGTGTTTCAATAGTTTATGATAATGTAACTAGAAGTTCTTATAACTTGTGACTGAGTCCACTCATACATAACGGTACATGTACTACTGTATCATGCTAAACATAGTATTATCCTAATAGAAATGTAACAAACTTTTGATATAATGTTGATAACTTTATTAAAGCATTAGAAAAATTTCTATCTGTTAAGAAATTTTTGCCTCATTGTATTATTACAATATGCTGAAATTGGACAAAGTTTTCAGGGGATATATGACTATCCTGAATCTGTTTCATAACGAATATGGTCAGATTTGAGTATGACAAAATATCATGGGGAAAATACTCATGAAGAGTATTGAGATTTATTTTAATGTAATTAAACTAGAGTTGTCCTTATGGTAGCAATACCCCTGAGGCACTACAAATAAAAGATCACACATCTCATTATTAATAAGTATCCAGAGATGCACCATATTTGCAAATTTGGTTTGGATTCCACTTTAGATGGAAAAAAGATGAACAGGCAGACACAGTGATCCCAGAACATTCCTACATTACAGGTAGTATAAAAATAATTTTAACAAGAGGCCCATGGGCCATATTGCTCATCTGAGGACTGGCTAGAGAAAGAAATCAGTTCAGTATTGAAAAGTTAAAATATTTAAGTGCACCCCCCCCCCCTCCACACACACACAGAGGGGAAGGGGAGGGGGTCATGATTTCAGCAAATTTAAATCTACACTACCTGAGGATGCGTCCATATAATAATGACTAATCATAGCTTTTCTTTCTTGAGAAGAAGATTTGATTGCCCATTGTGGCCCCAAGTACCTACCCCATGATCATGATTTGAACAAACTTGAATGTACACTTCTTGAGGGTGCTTCCATATGAATATGAATAAACATGGCTTTACTGTTCTTAAGAAAAAGATTCTTAAACATTCTTCCTATATGTATTCCAGTGAAAAAACTTTGATTGCCTGTTTTTGCCCTCTATCCCTGGGGATCATGATTTGAACAAATTTGAATCTACACTTTGTAATAAAGCTTTCACATAAATTTCATCTTTTCTGGCCCTGTGGTTATTGATAAGATTTTTAAAAGATTCCATTGAATTTTCACTATTTCTTTATGATCTCCCCTTGAAAGAGGTTGTGACCCTTCATTTGAACAAACTTTTATCCCTTTCACTAAGGATGCTTTGTGGCAAGTTTACAGACAACAGATGAAACGACAGATGGATGCTGGACACCCTTCAATCAGAAAAGCTCTCTTGAGCTTCGGCTCAGGTGAGCTAAAACACATTCACCCTATTTAGTGCCCCTTCCCCTATAAGGGCCTCCCTGCGACCTTTTCCACTTCATTTTTGATGGGGATTTGTTTTTAAAAGTATGTTTCTATTTGTTTTAACACTGTACATGTCTTGTAACACAGCAAAAGTTTTATAGCAGCCAGACCTAATAAAGCCTCAAGATTATAAACTGAGAACAGACTTAAGTTAAAATTTTGACTTTGAACATCTTGAGTTCTATTTAACATATGTGCATAAAAATTTGCAGGTTTGTATAAAACTCACATTCATAAACATGTTGAAAATTTTGGTTCATGATCAAAATTATTTTTAAAGTTTTTCGATTCAAAATTTTGACATAAGTCTTTTTAGTTTATGGTCTTGGACCAAGAACCCCTTTTTCTAATTTTCTTAGCACCCTGGGGTGCTTAATAGGACAAGTACAGTATATGATATATAACACACACAGGTGACATGAATATGAGTTATACATTAGATGTTAAGATAGACACTTACGGGGTGTAGTGGGGGACGAGAACGAATGAAGTCAAGGATCACTGCATGAGCGTCTTTCTTCACTTTGGGTGGAATGTCTCCATTAACCTGAAAATGACCACACCATGCTCAGTGTACAAACGATGTTGTGTTAATAATATTTGCATACATGTACAACAGTTATTACAAAATGAAATGCATGAGTATTCAAAATTGGGTACGGCAGGTCAGCACATTTTAGTGAAATTTAAAAATCTGGGATGTAATGCAATTCTTCTCAACATAGAAAATAAACCCTCACATGAAATAGCCAAAACAACTGATACCATGCTCTCATGCCAGGATAAAACATAATGCAACTTTTTTGTAAAAAAAAAATAATTCATTCTCACTTCTAAAGAAACAAATTCAATAGTTACCATGACTTTGTTGAGTGTGTAACGATGAGATTTAATATCGTCCAGGAGGATTTCAAAGGGAGTTAACTCATACTCTGTTGGTGTCGTAATGTGCTCCACGGCCTTTAACCTGACCCCTCGTCTTAGTTCTTTCATAATCTGCACCCATAATCGAGCCTGAAAAAGGGAGACAATGCTACATTGGTATTTGCTGAACAAAATAAGTTTTGAAAGTTTATAATCCCGTAGTGGGATTCGAACCCGCGACGTGAGGATCTACTCCTTACACCGCGACTCTACAAAAACACTCTTACCACTGCGCCACGTGGGCGACGATTTTCCTAAGTGTATCTTACCAGTAAACAATGTTCTTCACCAGATACTAAACAAAACCTTTCAAAACAGTTTGGGCAATCTCTCATCTCACCCATTGCTACTGGTACATATTACAAATGCACCATGAAGCTTTACCAATTATGTGATAATTCATTAATTCATACATTTCATGATGTAATTTTCTCTGAATATTTTGCATTGCCTGATTAATAGCCCTGATATTTACTGTATATTTGTAGGTAATGGATTTCACAGTTTTGTGGCAGGAGATCAATATCCTTATTAGCCAGGCTTTCCAGCCCCAAACCATGGTCTCTCTGTATAATTACAGCTTCATGAACCGAATGCACAAACCAAAAATAAAAACACTGACAATGCAGAAATCCACTTGATCAATAGAGACTCTAAAAATGTTTCACTGAGTTGGCATCCTCACAAACATCATCAGAAAATAGGAATTAAAAATTCTGTGGGCTTAAGTTTCTCCTATATCATATATGTGATGCTTTTTTAATGAGGTCATTTATTATTCAACTAGTCTCTTGTTATTTAAGACAATTCTTATTTATCTGTCCAAAATCATATGATAAAGAAATTCCAAAAGCCCATTATGTCTACACTGCAAGTATCTTTGCTCACATCGAGTGACAACAACTCATGACCAAAGAGCAATGTATTAAAATTTCCCATTTTATCCTGAGAAGAGATAACTCTGTGACCCACACCCCGCTGAACTAGACAATGCGGGACCTACCCAATCAGACCTCTGTAGCTCCTCAAGTCTGGCCTGGTCCTCGTCCTGGACCACCTTCTCCAGCTGTTTCTTGCCTGAGGAGATTCTGTTAAGGAAAGTGAGGAGTTCCTCTGCCTCGGCCACCAGGGCCTTGCACACCGCCTTGTAGTGCTGGCCCACATTGAGGTCACTAGAGATGTGCTGGGAACACAGCTGAAAGTCATACAAATAAGGAATTAGAATAATACATTATTTGTTGTTTGATGTCAAAATCATAAAAGAAGGGATGACACTAATTCATAATTTTCAAAGACTCACACGTCCCACCCTAATTTCATCAATGGATGGGGAAAAGGGGGGAGAGGTCACCTAAAAAGTGGTTAGAATAGCCATGAACTGAATGAATTAAAAAAAAAAAACAATTCATAGAACAAGATATCAATACACACTCAGAATTATTTGGCATACAGCACAGAATTTAGTACTTGGTATGTGTCTAATTGATTATATCTCAGACATATTCAGGCAAACAAAAATATCTTTGAGGAATTCTTGTCTCGCTCTGAATCCCTGAAGTCCTGGTGTTTGTTTATTACATACCAATCAAGATTAAACATTCTCTGCTTCAAGGGATCAATCTTTTTCTCTTGAAGTATATTTACCATTTTTGAATAATCAATTCCCTAGGTCCATTATAAACTGAACTGCAAAAAACAGCTAACATACTGGAAAACTGGAATGTCCTTTGTCTCTTTTTTACATAGATTTTTTTTGTTTGACAAGAAAGGTAATTACACACATGTATTTGCCATACAACCTGCAATTATACATTCTTGAAATCTGATAAAATATGTGAACTGATCAATTCAAAATTTCCTAACACATTCAGGTTATTCTATGATGAAATCATCAAATTTCATCCTATCCCTGATTTCTTAATAAAATAAATTGATGTGTAACAAATCAAATATTGCCTCTTATTGTTCTGTGGTACCATGAGGTCACTTTATTGTTAAGGTGGACACAGGAACCAAATGTCCAGAGATTTGGTCACTGGAGTACAAACAAACAAACCGCTTAGACAGCTGAGATTGGTGACAAAATCCCCTACAGCTAGATTACTGAAGAACAACAGGATTAAACAAGATCTTGTGGGGGACCACCCTCCCCAGATAATGAATTTCCCCTGACACCTAGAACAGTGCATCTACAACTATGAGCAATACCTCAGATTGCAAACTGTTTTACATTGTATTTAGACAAAAACTTATCTATAATCAGTGTTAGCTAGGACTTATCTATAATCAGTGTTAGCTAGGACTTATCTATAATCAGTGTTAGCTAGGACTTATCTATAATCAGTGTTAACTAGGACTTATCTATAATCAGTGTTAGCTAGGACTTATCTATAATCAGTGTTAGCTAGGACTTATCTATAATCAGTGTTAGCTAGGACTTATCTATAATCAGTGTTAGCTAGGACTTATCTATAATCAGTGTTAGCTAGGTCTTATCTATAATCAGTGTTAGCTAGGACTTACCTATAATCAGTGTTAGCTAGGACTTACCTATAATCAGTGTTAGCTAGGACTTATCTATAATCAGTGTTAGCTAGGACTTACCTATAATCAGTGTTAGCTAGGACTTATCTATAATCAGTGTTAGCTAGGACTTATCTATAATCAGTGTTAGCTAGGACTTATCTATAATCAGTGTTAACTAGGACTTATCTATAATCAGTGTTAACTAGGACTTATCTATAATCAGTGTTAGCTAGGACTTATCTATAATCAGTGTTAACTAGGACTTATCTATAATCAGTGTTAGCTAGGACTTATCTATAATCAGTGTTAGCTAGGACTAATCTATAATCAGTGTTAGCTAGGACTTATCTATAATCAGTGTTAGCTAGGACTTATCTATAATCAGTGTTAGCTAGGACTTATCTATAATCAGTGTTTAAGCTAGGACTTATCTATAATCAGTGTTAACTAGGACTTATCTATAATCAGTGTTAGCTAGGACTTATCTATAATCAGTGTTAGCTAGGACTTATCTATAATCAGTGTTAGCTAGGACTTATCTATAATCAGTGTTAGCTAGGACTTATCTATAATCAGTGTTAGCTAGGTCTTATCTATAATCAGTGTTAGCTAGGACTTACCTATAATCAGTGTTAGCTAGGACTTACCTATAATCAGTGTTAGCTAGGACTTATCTATAATCAGTGTTAGCTAGGACTTACCTATAATCAGTGTTAGCTAGGACTTATCTATAATCAGTGTTAGCTAGGACTTATCTATAATCAGTGTTAGCTAGGACTTATCTATAATCAGTGTTAACTAGGACTTATCTATAATCAGTGTTAACTAGGACTTATCTATAATCAGTGTTAGCTAGGACTTATCTATAATCAGTGTTAACTAGGACTTATCTATAATCAGTGTTAGCTAGGACTTATCTATAATCAGTGTTAGCTAGGACTAATCTATAATCAGTGTTAGCTAGGACTTATCTATAATCAGTGTTAGCTAGGACTTATCTATAATCAGTGTTTAAGCTAGGACTTATCTATAATCAGTGTTAACTAGGACTTATCTATAATCAGTGTTAACTAGGACTTATCTATAATCAATGTTAACTAGGACTTATCTATAATCAATGTTAACTAGGACTTATCTATAATCAATGTTAACTAGGACTTATCTATAACCAGTGTTAGCTAGGACTTTTCTTAAAAATTGATAAAGCTAGAAGATTACAGGTGCATATTATGAAATACTTTTGTGTCTGTCATATACAAATCAAAAAGATTTAATAAGGCCATCAATTCAATGTGACAATCAAAATAACTTGTATACAACTGTATATCAATAATAAAGAATATGTCAAACTTGCTTCAACAGTCACTGGCTAGTGCCACATGGACTAGGTCCATTTTGTTTCCAAAAATCTTACAATTGCTATATGTATCATGATTTCCTTGTAGTATAAATATGACTCTCCTTAAAAAGAAAAAAAAAACAGGCTTATAAGTCCCTATGCCCAGTTCTAATTTTTCTCGTCAAGGTCATTCAAACATTTTTTGAAATACATCATGTAAGTTGAATTTTGATTTTGTGATTTAATTAATATGTAGTGAAACCTGCTATGTCAAATCAATACTGCTCGTCTGAAACAACATGAAAATCCATGATTGAATTTTTTTTTTCCTCCGAGTGCACACATGTAAATGACAATTTATCTTAGTGAACATATTGTACCCTTACTCATACACATCTGCTTCCATATGCAATTTCACAAAACGAAAAATTAAACATGGTTTTACCACATTAATTTCTCATTTTCTTGGTTTCATTTTCACATTTGTTAAGAAACTATAACAAATCTGGTGACTAACCAGTATTAATCTAGTTTAATCATGATAATGTAGAAAAAATGTTAATCACATTCCATCTAAAAAAATTCTATGACTGTTGCTCATTCACAAGTGTTATATTTTAACAGTTTGAAATTTAATTTTGGACTTCTGTATGTTGTTGTATACACATTCACTGTTGTTCTAAATAATATCTTTGCGTGACTTTGTACCATCAAAAGCAATACACATATCTTGGTCTCTTTTTTAGAAACACTCTGTAACAATCCAAAGGGTGAAATTAACCTTGAAAAATTGCTTTCAGATCACATTTAAAAAAAAAAATCTTTGAACATTAATATTAAATTTTAAATGGCAAAGCATTTCTCATCTATCATGTTTTCTAGCATTAATACACAATTACATTTAGTCAATCTGGCATGCAAAATTACCTTTGATGATACCCAATATTTTATATTATTAGGTACATATTCAGCCAAAGAATTATGAAAAAAATAATTTGTACATGTATTGCAATGATAGCTAATTGTACAGAATTTCAAGAATAATTTTACAATTAGCACTCACTAGGTGCTGAAGTAATTAAGGTCAGCATGTACTGCTTCAATGAATTATTTTATTTCTCCATGTAATATAAATATACCTGAGTATAATCACTAAATACCTAAGTTGCAATGTGATGCTTCAGTTGCAAGCTGTTTTTATATATATATATATATATATATATATGTATTTTATGTGTACTGTGAAGTCAATGTCATTTTAAGGTTGTTTTACAAACAAGGGTAAATCTAAGAACCAGAGATGCTATCTTTGTCGACAAATCTTCCTTATACAGTCATGTCCAATTCTATTTGGTTATTATGTAATTGTAATGTCACCAAGACCCACCAAACTAAATTGCAAAGGAATATTTCCCCAATGAAGAATTGAAAAATAAGGCCAATTAAAAGGGTCATATTTTATGCAAGGTGCCCTCCATTCCATACTATCTGACATGTTTAACTTTTCTAAGTGGGGCTATATACCTGTGTTTAACTTGTTGATTGATGAGGGGCAATTATTGTTTCTAACATAGATGTTCTTTTATATGTAGCGGAAGACAATCTTGTCAAATTGTGGAATCTCATAGAGGAAACATAAACTGTCCCAACCATCTGTTGCGGACTGGTTTAATTCATTCCCATTTATCACAATGATGGAAAACGCCTTTCTAATTTCATCTCTATATAGGTACATATACGGAGAACAAATTAAAACTTTTGTATCGAAATATTTGTGGAATTTGAGTGGGCCTCTACCCTAATCAGTTGTCTCATCTCGGGGTTCATTTCCGTACCATCAACATTAATTATAATGACCTTTCCCGTTAGTCTACATTGAAATTAATGTACTATTTTGTTGATGATTGATTAACGTGATGTATATCTCCATATTGACAAGGCTTAAAATCTATGAAATTTTATCATGGAAAAACTAGGCACATAAATATTTCATGTCAGAATTTGAAGCCCTCCTAATCACTGAAGGGTACACCTGAATTTAATGATCAATCAATTCCTAGCTATACCTGACCACATTTCATTAGTGTTGCCAAATTCTGATCAATATGGTCTTTTCCCAAGCCTGGAATTTTAATTCAGTTTATCTGCTGCTAATGGAAAAACTCAACACCCCTGTGCTTCAAAATATACACTCTGTCATTAATGCTTGGTAATGTTATTTATTGTAAATGTTTTTTTCCTCTCACTGGTCAACACTATAAAGAAGTATATTTGGAAGTCCAAACATTATTCCTGATAGTCAAGTGCACTTATTTTACCTGATGGACCTGAATAACAAAACACCTGTCACTTTCAATTTTGTTTGTTCAATCACACATTCATCTCATATCAATTTCTACACAACATTCACTCCTACAGTTTATATGAGTTAAATGTAAAAAGAAATTTAGACCAAATATCTATCATAAAGCTAATCTTCTTCAAACTTTTGATTAAAAACACTTAAACTGAAAACCCAGACAAAATATCAATAGGTAAGTTTTCTTATCAAATTGGGGGAGGGGTGAGGATCACCTTCCTCTTATCTTAAATATATATTTAATTTAAAACTTTCGACTCATCTCAGCTTCCTCCTGATGTATTTACAAACTCTAGAACCATCATGAAAAACTAACTATTATGAAGTTGTGATTTTAGTAATTCTAAAATGATATCCTGTTTGCTCAGGTGTGGGTAGTAAGGTTTGACAACTGTCCTTTACAAAAACTTAGGGGTCTTATAGTATTGATATCAAAAAGGATGTTTTTCTTTGAACTTGTTTAATAGTTGTCCTTACTCCGTCCATGAGATCTGTCTTTTACATTTGTTGTTATTATCTAGTAATTTTGTTGGGTTCTTTATCATTTGACTGATCTGTGTTGAATGAAACAAAAATACTGAAATCTCTTTCATCTATGAGGTACATTTAGATTTTCACCACTCTTTGAGGCAATGAATGAATTTTGAGCTGAGACAAGTTTCAAACAAAAGGCTCCTGTAAAATTCAAGGCCAGTCCATACTGGGTTTAGCTGTTTAACTTAACCTGGATTAAATTTGTACTTAATTCACACTGTGTCAATGCCTTAATTCTTATAGTAGGTAAAACTTTGTTCTACACATGCAGTTCACATTGTAAGAATCTAGTTTAAGTCAACCAACACTACAGGTGGGAATTATGGTAAGTCTTCCTACTGTGGACATATGATGGAATGTCATCCTACTGTGGACGTATGACATTAAGTCATCCTACTGTGGACATTTGACATCTTCCTACTAGTAAGTCTTCCTACTGTGGACATATGATGCTATGTCATCCTACTGTGGACATATGAGTGAGTTAACTCACATAACTGGTAGTGAGTTATAATCCTGATTTACTCTGTAGTGTGGACCAGCAATATCGGAATTGTCCACCCCTCCACAAGACACTCATAGACAACAGCAGTCCATCTATCTTCTCATGATTTTTTTTAATGATGAGATAAAAGTATGTTTTTATTTTTTTATTACAGGAAAATTGTGATGATGTGTTGGGAATCCTGAATGAGAGCTGCAGTGCTACCTACCACAATAATGTCTGCAAATGTGTATCCCTCCTTGGCATCTTTCTCTATCCCCTCATCACACGCATTCTGTAATTCCTCATCATCCTCCTCATCCGGATTTATCATGACCTCAAGAAGATGTTCAAGGTTGTGACTGAGATGTCGCTCCTCAGACTCTTGGAGTCCATAATCCAGGGCATGGTAGATAACCACTCCCAGGGCCTGTATTGCCTGTAAAACAAGGTAGAGATGAATCAATCAATATCTGTAAAACACAGCGTAGCATGAACAGATTAGGGCCTGTAAAATACAGCATAGCAAAAACTAATTAAAGCTTGTAAAACAAAGTATAGCAAGGGCCCATCAAGGCTCATAGCATGAACCAATCAATATCTGTAATGCATTGCATAGCATGAACAAATCGGGCCTGTAAAATATAGATTAGCATGAACTATTGAAGGCTTGTAAAACAAAGCACAGCAAGAATCAATCAAGGCCTGTAAAACACGGCATAGCATAAACCAATCAAGGCCTGTAGAACACAGCATAGCATGAACCCATCAAGGCCTGTAAAACACAGCATAGCATGAACCAATCAAGGTATATAGAACACATAATAGCATGAACCCATCAAGCCTGTGAAACACAGCATAGTATGAACCAATTCAAGGCCTGTGAAACACAGCATAGTATGAACCAATCAAGGCCTGTAAAACAAGGCATAAAATGAACCAATCAAGACCCATCAAACACATCATTGTATGAACCAATCAGGACCTGTAAAACAAGGCTAAGCATGAAAAAAATCAAGGCCTGTAAAATACAGCATAGCATGAACAAATCAAGTCATGCAAGACACAGCATAACATAAACCAATCAAGGCCTGTAAAATAAGGCAGAGCATAAACCAATTGAAGCCTATAAAACATAGCACAGCATGAACTTATAAAGTCAAAGCATGAACCAATCAAGGCCTGTAAACATAGCAGATCAGCATGAACTAATCAAGGCCTGTACAATACAGCACAGAATGAACTAGTAAAGGGTTTAACTGCTAACACTAGTTAGAAAAGTATCGTATACATACAATGATACATGCAATTATACACACTTTACAAGGTGAGTTTTACTAAACATGCAAGAAATATCAAGTAGATCAGCTGTAACCTCTGTCTAACCTTGATTATAATTTATCATAAATGAGTTAATCCCAGTAATGCATAATTAATTGATACAGTCTAATGTTTCATCAAAGAAATTTGTGCTACAAAAAAACAATACTAATATGAATGCCAATTAAAAATATTATGTTGATCTTTACCCTCGTCAATCGGGTTTAAAAATATTCATCAATTAATCTGTAGTAAAAAAACATACTTCATGTACCGGTAATAAATATTCACTTTGATTAAATCGATCGTTAAATTTGGAATACCAAAAGTTTTCCCTGGTTTGTCAAATCAAGGTAAAACTTAATATCTATTATGATCAAAAACACACAAAGATTTTGACAAGGAATACCGGAATGTGTGAGCTTCAGGTGAGAGGTCAAGATGTTTGTATTACGTAATTCTGTTACTTGGTCATGTTAACGGTTTTAAATGTCTCTATTGCTTTGCCCCCTGGTTCCCTTTTCTAAGGATTTGTCACCAAACTTGGAGGGGAGCAACACTTGCCTTATTGAGATTATGTAATATGTTTTTAAGACATATAGCTTACAGATTTTATCACTTAGCATGCCTAGGAAATAGAAACTAAACAAACTTCGGAATAAAAATAATAAATCAAGGATTAGTTAAATAAATATATTTCCTGAAGAATTGTTGCATACATAAACATGATGAAAACAGTTGTGGCCATGGTAAATCTTGGGATATACTAAGGCAATACTAGTTTTTTATGTGTACATACTGGTACAAACATGTAGCACAGCTCTCACTTGACAGCTATAATATGCATAGAGAGATAAAAACAGGTGTAAGGACCAAGTTCGTAAATTATAAAAAGAATATTTCTGTAGAATATAACTGGAACCAGGCTGTCATTAGAAGATTTAGGTTAAATGACATGTATACAAAGGTTTATTTAGATGAAAGTTTACATACAAGTGTATATCAAGAAAAGAAAGGCTAATTTTCTCTGCAGTGTTAAATCCACTTAGTATTCTAAAGGTGACCGCTATCTCCTAGTGTATGGTCAAAAGAGGCTTAAATTCTGAATGTCCAACAATGAAGAAAATGCAATCCTATTACCTTTTTAAAAAATATTCTTTATTCACATCCTAGGATATTTCAAACTTGTCAAATGTCTTGGAAAAAGTGAAATTATCTAGCACAAATGAAAAGCAAATAGCCCTCCTTTGACCTTTTGTGTTCCCACAAAACATGTTTGCTTTCTAAATTGAGACATCATTGCCTCTAGCTTCTCCTTAATATAAAGTCAATTTCTACAGCTACTAAACTAATATAAATCTTTATACTTCACACTGGTGTGATATGATCTACATATTTCTTTTATGAGTATTTCTCCATCATGTAAGACATAGTTTCTTGGCTGAAGTGTCTCAGAATGAAATATCAAAGCAGAAGAAATTACACTTAATTGATGTCAATGTTTTGATTATTGCATATATATAACTTCACACATTTATTTCCTTCATTTTCAAACTTTAAACCAAAATAAATTAATAATTCATTTGACACTAAAGATAAACGAAATTAAAAATTAAAAGCAAGGGGAAATGACAATTCACAAACATATATACTTATCTCCCTTGAACTTTTTATGGTTTTGAACCCTTTTAGACTATCCCTTTTCACCTCTTCTGTATTACAATCAAGGTTTGAATACCAGTAGTTTATGGTTATGACTTATGGTGTGTTAGATACACAGGCAATATAACTGAGACAATGACCACTTTTAATACTGATGTACCAGTGTCAAGATGTAGAGCTGCACAGCTGGGGAAAATAAACCTTTAATAATTGGTCAGTGTACAGGACACTACGTGGGGTGACCACAAACCACAGAATCAGGGACAAAGTGGACCAGTTATAACTGTCTAACAGTTAGCTTGACCACATCACTGAAAGAAGTTAGTAATATAGTAGTTAACCAGCAATACATACATATAGATGACTAACTCTGTATCAAAATAAGTGTCACATGATACCAATTCTACAGTAGTTGTTTAGTTGAGGACAATTACTTCACACATTTTAGGCTTGTTTGGCAGGTTTAAAGTACACTGGGTTGTAAAATACTCATGTCTTTAGGTGATAAGGGTGTATGCATACTGTATGACAATAAAGTCTAGCACTTCTTGACAGTTCAACAAGCTATATGAAATAGAACAATGTAGAAGAGGAAATTCATATGCATTTCTCCGAGACATTGGGGCTATTCATGAAAATTACTGGTGGGTTGCTATAATTTGTGTTGCCATAGTTTTCCTAACTGTCTGTGTTAGCTTGCTGTAGCCTTTTGTCTATGGATGGTCATTTATTGCAAGAAATTGGTACTTAGATGTCAGTTTTTAAAAGCTAATCCTTGCAGTCAAATCGCTGAACCATATTTTGACATTTGCGGCCTTTTAAGACCACTAAATAAAACCTGTCTCTGTCATGTCTGTGTTAATTATACTTTGTATGACCCCTGGGTCAATTCCACAAGATCTGTTTACAAGCAAGGCTCCATGTCTTCAGCCACAATAGGCATTCACAGTCATGTTTCATGTAGATCAAACATGTACAATGAATACAGATTCGTAAGATCGGAGTTACACAAGATTCTGTTTTCATTAAAGGGTACTGTAAGAGTTAATTTGTCCTGAAATATTATCCAAAGGAAAGAAAGATGGTGAGAAAGATTTTAATCTTATTTATAGCAGAAAATAAGGTCAGGTCATCCATTGTCAATTTGTGTTCTTGTTCAAATGGGGGTTTTAATTACACCTCTTAAAGTCACATTTGATGTACAGTATTGAAATTCCCACAGTAAAGCAAACAATACATTTATATAGCAATGCAAGAATATACTCAAAGAAAATTTACAATAGCATATATACAAAATTTCTATCATGAATTAAATGCACATCCTCCAATTAAAAACAAGAAATTGGGATATATAATAGAAATTTAAAATCCTATTTATATACACTGAAGAACTCAAAGAGCCATCAAAACAAATTAAGAGATGCCTTGTTCAACATATGACACAACATGTATATAGTTTGGAGAACCACACATTTGGAGCCTTAGTTAGGAGAACCAAAGAATTAGTAGCAATGATCCTGTCACCATGTATACTTTATCAGGCCTGAACAATGTCAACAAATCATCTAGCAATCATCACCATTGAGGAGGAATTTATCTCAGGAAACTCTGATAACTTGGCCAATGGTGAGCATGGACAGAATAAAATGTCAACAATCTTCACTGCCCTACAGAAAATACATATTAATTAAACAGGCCCAACTTTTTTTTTTATTAATTTGATATTTCCATGGAATCGTTTTGGTATATTTCAATGTCAACATCTAGATATTGACAATAGGATAAGCTGGGTAGATTTTCTGGTACCTGGATATTAGGGGAGGGGAGTAGTTAAACACTTTATCATAAGGGACATGAACTTGGAAATAATGTTACTTGGTCATATACATCATATGTAACTGGAATAGCAAGATTGTAGTTTTTTTCACTATCTATCTTTAGAATCATCATCAGTTGTCCATTTGATAGTATACATGTACTAACAAGGGTCACCTACTTGACTTTTTTAAATGGGTGGTGCTTTATGGGCCACCAGCTCATTATGTTTCACCAGGTAGCCCATTTGTTATCCCCTTGCAATGAAGTTGGAAGGGATATAGTATCATGCTAGTAATAATTTACATCGGGATCAATGTTCGTTTTTGAGATGGGATGGTCCGCTTTGCGTTGCCCTTGTTATACTTACATCACTTTCTGTAACCACTTTTATGTCTTTCCCTGTCACCGAGTTTCTTCTATGAACTGAAAAAAAAAATGAATAAAAAAGATTCTGTAAGTCATTTGTAGGTTGATTTATTTGTCAGGAAGTTTATGAGCAATTAATAAAGCAAGTGTTTTAATTTAAATACATAAATACTTATGACAAACATCCATTAGCAGGAGACTTTAACAACATTATACAACTCCACAAAGCCAATTTTGAATACAATCAACATGTTCAAATATTTTTTAAACCATTTTTGTATTCAAAATGCATAACTTTTAGTCAAGTTGCATTAATTGCATAATTTGAAGAAGAAAGTTATTAATAATTAAAAAGTTTTGGACATGCAATATATTTCATCTGCAAAGTTCTAAGGAAATAGAAGACTTAGTCTGAATAATCAGTTTAGGATTTTTAGGCCTAATAATTCACAGTGGCCATTAAAATGAAAACTAGATAAAATACTCCATTTTTCACTCAAATCAAAATAGCTCTAAATCATATGCTAATGAGAAAGCTTTAGAGAAATATTTTGCAATGTCCTTGACTATAAAGTCTAAATTCACCATATGAAGAATCTAATACAACATTAAAAAAAGGTTTAATTATGAAATGCATAAATTTTTAATCTGCATATTTTTATTCCTTGAGATTTATTTAACAAAGCATGAAATTATACAATTATCAAATTCTGTCAAAATTGATTTTGGTCTAGAAAAAAAAAAACACCCTTCTGACTTATGACCTGGTTCGGAATTGGTTGCCCGAGGCCAAAACCAAGTCAACATCAATTTTATTTTAAAATTATCAAACTTTGTAATTGGTACTCTCTGTATCTTATTTGTTGAACAAACTCAACAGAATGTACCCTAAATACTTTATTGTTAAACAATAGACAAATCAATGATGCCATAATCTCCACTGCATGCATGCCTCCCCCCCCCCCTTTTTCACTTCAGACTGGGATGAATTTTCTCTGAGGTGTATATCTCAGAAAAGATCACCTGGAACAATCAGAGAGCATCAAATCTCCTGATGTTTTAATATTAATTAGTTTGTAATTCTACAATAAGTACCTGGTACTAAATTGTACAATTATGTTGTAAAATGTTTTTCAATGTGGTACCTTCATTTCCTTAACTCTTTCAAGAAGTACTGATATCAGATGACTAGCCTTAAACACTTGATATATGTAGGCTATTATGCAAAGGAATTTTGGCATTCTCCATTTAAATTTCCTGTGGTCCAAAGAGAATTCAAAAAAGTCAATTGTCAAGATAGATGTGTTGAAATCAATTGGACTTATTCCAAAGAATTCCAATAAAACACATGTGGAGATAAATTTCAGACCAAGTTTTCAATACACATTGACTCTGTGTTTAATCCCCCAGTAAAGTATAAACCCAAACAATTCAGAATGGAATGTATAAATGCTTAAACTAGCCTGAATGAAGGAGGGGTCCCTTCATTACTCTTTAAGTATTTCATCAATATATGACAATTAATATCAGTGTGTATGGAAAATTGATATCTAAAATAATTCCAGCAAAAAATCAGACTCATTTTGGAGATTTGTTAATAGCAATATACCTAAGGCCTCTGCATGTTATATATTTACAAACTACATGTATAATGAGTCTTCTAAATTCATGGACACATCTGTCTGTTGTTTTACATGAACTCAGAACACAGGGCAACATATTTTCAATTTAATAGCTGACAGGTAAATGTGATATATTGTAGATTAAGTTTCTACATTTCATCTGCACTTCTTGACCCCCAATCTTTTTTAATACTATGCTCCACATGCAGGTAACAACTGTATTTGACCATTATTAACCTTTACACATGACAGACATTCATTTTATCCAGCACCGACCTTCACCTTTATTTTAGTCACATGTAAAGCTTCCTTTTACAGGTCTGGACTCTACAAGTTTTGAAGCAAAGGTTTGGACAGTAATTAAGATATAGAGCTATGCCAAAATTAGGAGCAAAACCATTCTAAGTGCAGACTTATCCAGTGCATCATTTATGACTGTTATACTGAAGAATAGTTGGAACTCACTGTAAACTAGAATTGATCACTGACAAACAATATAAACCTAATATGTCTGGCTAAAGATTACATTTACATATGTTCTACTGTGCAATCAGATTTTACAGTGGTGTAGGTACCATGTATGCTTGTATGCCAAAGCATCCACAATCACCCCACCCTCCAAAAAAATCAATAATAAATAAATTGATAAATTAACAAAAAATACAAAACACTTTGATGAAAGAATATACAATTGAACTTCGGTATCTTGAACACAGATATCTCGAATACCATGCATATGTCAAAGTGATTTTAAAGTCCCAAATGCTTATTTCTTAAGTATTTTACCCTGGATATCTCGAATCCTCGGATATCTTGAAGTATTTTCTTGGTCCCATGAAGTTCGAGATAACAAGGTTTGACTGTATTTCAATAAATTGTTATATTATTTGAACATAATTTGTTTTAATTGTACTATGTTTTTAGACCCATTCTAACACTCCTAGACATTTCTAGAGATATTTTGTGAGCTTCCCAGGTATTCTTCCACCTGGACCCGCCGCTGAGGGGGGGGGGGGGGGGGTAATTTGGCACCAGAACCCCTGCAGTCAGAAAAGCATTCACATTATTTTTGCCTAGCTATGCCACTGTTTTATGAATTTGACCAGAGAGTAATAATTAATTCTACCGAAATTTTTATTTAACGATAATTTGTTATTTTCATTGTGCAGATTATAATGGGGATTAGACCGTTAGATTGTTTGAGAATAACAAATTTAACACATTTACGCCTGATTATCATCATTTGGGATAATACCACTGATTGGTATATGCACCGCATTGACAGATCTATGATGTTTATTCCTTCTTAGAGGACAAGGATCTAGGTAGCTAAATAGGATTAATATAATAAGTACTTCTCTTGTATATTAGGGACCTCTGCAGTCCTGTTACCATCAAATTGTGATACATGCACGTCCCTGATATGATGTATTAGGGAGTGAGTCATGTCCTCCATCTATCTGATCATAATCAGCTGGTCACTCAGACTGACTAGTCAAGTCAGGAATTTTCTGCCCCACTTGGCACAAAGGATCATGGACCTTTGCAAATCATTTTAGCGATGTTTTGTAAAAATATTCTTAATGTACAATTACACAAACTTCATCCTAAAGGGTATACAGTTTCTTAGATCTTTTCTTATTCAGGGAATGCATGGTTAAATGATGAATATATAAAAAATAAACAGACATACTTTGAAATACAGGTATTACCAAATTCTTTATCTAGGCTCTATTGTGTTGAATCAGGGGAATGACAAATTATAAAAACACACAACCATGGTTCTATTACAATAATTTTCTCTGGGCCAATTCATAACCAAAATATTCTCTATTCACTATTCAAAAAATCAAAAAAAAATTTCCAAATAATTGAAATTTTCAGAGAGAGAGAGATATTATAAAGAAATTCCTATCCATGCAAATACCCAAGGACTGTAACTTTTTGGTCAGGCAGACTAATCGTCAAAACATTTTAGTAATGGCTATTAGATAGTTTTAAAAAAATTAGAATTCCAGACAAGCTATAATTTCTTCGAGTTTTGTGCTAAGGCATCAACTGGACTTAGGATAGGTGAGTTTTGTGCTAAGGCATCAACTGGACTTAGGATAGGTGAGTTTTGTGCTAAGGCATCAACTGGACTTAGGATAGGTGAGTTTTGTGCCTAGTTATCAATAAAGATATACATGTAAGTATCTTTGGAAATTCCCAATGCATATCTAGCAAATAGGTCATGTAGTATTTTTTGTTATTTGACTTTAGTGTCTGGCCCCCTTTACTAATCACTCAGAGGTGGGAGATTAGCAGGGGGTGGAGGGGTTATGAGAAGAAGCTGTTTTCAGCCAAAGAGTAACTGTTAACGGTAAGGTAATCAATATTTAGCAATGTAGTCTAGCAGCAATTTCCCAGTCTGACATTTATTTGATTGTATGGTGTGATCTGACAGTCAGCTGTCCTCAGCACTATTACATACAGGGACAGAGCAGTGATTAGGTCGCCATCTACCCAGCAACACCTCTTAACAATCTCCCCAATGTCCCACTAGATACTACTGTTATGGGCTTTTAACTTATCTTTACCCAATAAAAGCCACAAGTTTTATGTAAATGTGAATCAATCAATTTTAATCAATGTCTTCTGGAGTTAGGGCACCTGTTATTTATAATTGATTGCCCTGTTCTGCAGCATGTAAAGAATTGTCAATTATTGATGTCCTTGTCTGTAAATGAGAGAAACTGTAAACAAATAAAATATTTCTTATTCTCTCTCCTTTATAATGCAGACCTTCTCTTTATCAGTTACAGTTCAAACCCTTCTAATAATTGCAGTGATGAGATATGCACTGAGAGAGAGAGAGAGATTTACAGCACATCAGACAGATACCATTGTTGTAACTAGCACTCTCATTATGTATAGAGCTGATGAACACCAGTCAAAGAGGAAAGTCAGATCATCAAAAACTGATCTGACAAGACATTAAGTTTTTAACATAAGCTAGCTAGAACATGTCCTTGAACATATTGAAGGTGATCTCTCTCTCTTTTTTTTTTTTTTTTTGGTTAAAGTTGATGAAAAACTAATTTTTTTTTAAACTTTGTTGTATCCCATAAAGTTCTTGTGTCCACCCTTACTTCAAACAAAAAAAATCCTACAACATTCCTTGTACAATTGATCTTGACAAAGGTTAGGTGACTCCCGCTCATAAATTCACTAGCACAGGTATTTACTCAATTTATCATGTTACTGAAATACACATGCCATATAAAAGTAATTGATCACCTTTATTCCAAAAATATTGAACTTGTACATTTTTGTTTTTAAAGACAATTAAAGTGAAAGAAACCTTGGATTCCTCAAGGTTATGGGAAGTAAATTTAACTTCATATTTTTAATACATGGATGCTGTTATCAGAAGACTTATAAAAGGATTTCAGGAAAAACAGTTCTCCTTAAACACATATAAAAGTGATTTAATGTTTAAATATTATATATACCCAAATGTTATATTCTTTCTAAAAATCTGGTATAAAATTCTTGACCAGTGACTTTATAGCTTATAACTTACAACCTAAATACTGTTGTTTAGAAAAAAGTAATGTCTGCAGTGAACAGGTTCTATACACCTGGCTTGTAGTGGCATAAAATCTATTATTAGTTATTCTGAAGGTTAACAAGATGTCTCACCCATTTGACAGGTAGACCCAGCCACAACAGCATGTGGGGGATTGTATGGTGAAACTAACCCCCACACCAAATTGTTGCCTTTACCCTGCATTAGGAAGACCACTATAGGTTCACAATACTTGGATGGATGAGTCTCAAATACATAAATAGAGAGGATGCTTACTAAAATATATACAAATATGGTATATATATATATCAAAGTACACATAAATCAACAAACATAATGAAGGAACAATTAGTAAAGCAGAGACCAGCTAGCATTTTTTTTTTAAATAATTTTTATACGTTTACCAAAATGAATATATATGCAATTAAAGGTAATTTATTGTAAAATAACAGCAAGATCATGCCTTATTTTTATAGTACCAGCTTTTTATGGGATGTGTATATAATTATAAAACTAGAAGGCAGATAACAGCTATATCTAAGGGTAATATATTCAGACTATAGTTAATATTACCATAAATGAAAAAATACTACATGAACTTTAATCAGCCAACTACATTTTAGCTAATCTTTCTTGTATTATTCATACATCTAGATAAACTTGGAAGATTATAAGTGTTGTAATTGTCATATATGTGGAAAGAGCCAAAAATCATTAATATTCCACTGCATTCCTGTCGGCCCACACTTAGCATGTCAGAGAATCCAGAATTGCTGCTATGGCGTAGTGGGATGTACCCGTTATATTATCAATGCCTGACTCGCTCCTTAACAAAAGATCTACCTGCATTAATTATTTCTGCCTGCCAAAACACACAAATGCTTAAAGCCTGCTTGAAATGATTCATTCCCCAATTCTTAAGATGACATATTTAACAATACGGAGCGTAGAACTTTAAATTCTTCATCATATAGGTAAATTTTTCTTAAGCTATTAATGCCTTTCATCATGTTTTTCTGTTCAATACAGTACCAAAAGTAGAAAAATACAATAAAGCAACAAAGTGTGACCTTTAGGTCAAATAATGCTCCTCCAAAACCAGACTTTTTCTCTCCCCCCCCCCCCCCCCCCAAAGCATAGAAATTAAACATTTCATAATTTTCATACACTATCAAGGCAGTCAAATAATGCCCATTTCTCTACATATGTTTTAAATGTCCAAGCTGAATTAAACATGCATCTACCAGTAACGATATTGATTTTAAAAATTGCAAGTCTGTGCACATTCCAGGTCATTTAACGATTGCATTGATAGTCAGGTACCCTATCTGTGAAATTATGTATATATACTAGGTAGCTGCTGGGATTTCCAATGCACTCATTTATATAGGAAATCCTGAAAGAGCTTTTTCTTATCAAACTTCAAACACATTTTTTCTCTATATTCAAAGGAGAGATAAACAAACACAGGCATTGTGCAGATGTACACCCTTTGTTCTGATGGATTAAAACAGGATAAGAAGCTTTGTTTGATTATAGTATGTCTCTCCCTAGACCAATAATAGCACACAACCATAATTACGACAGTCATCGAAATCAACTTAAAATTTACAAATGATATTCATAAATGACATACTAGTAAGATTTACAAAATCCTCTAGAAATAAATGTTAATGAAAACATTCTTGAACCTTTATGAATACAAACTAAAAATAGAAAATGTTCTATCTACACAATACAATAATTAGAATGGACTTATATTAATGCTGGCAACATTTAGAAGGCTATGAATAACTACCAACAAATACTCAGTACACAATACTGATGCAAGATTTGTTATGATAAAAGAGGAATAGAAATACGGTGGAAATTACGCTAAAATTCAGTCATTCGTGACATCAAAAGAATTTCATTGCATACCCAAGGCTCAAACTACTCCTGATTATAAAATCACTTAGTTTAATCATTCTAACATATCTGGATATTTTCAATCAAATCAATTTATTGTGAGAGGCTTGTGAAAGGATTGTCGTTTTAATGCTGAAAATGAACTCCAAAATGACTTTCTTATGTTTTTAAAGGATATGCCGACAATTGGCAAGTGCACTGTTTGGGATAATAACCCCCTAATTATGCCTGTATTAACTAAAATTATTTAAAACCCTATAGAAAAATTGACACCTTCCCAATAATTATCTTGATTGTAAGACTGTCAGCTTTTGACAATTAACAATAGTCATAAAAGGAGAAATGTCCCTATATATGATACATGACAACCCAAAACATTGCTTTTTTTTTAACAATGTCATCTCCAAGCACAAGATGCAATGGCCAAAGAAATAAAAATTTCAAAGTAATTTTTATTAATTAAAAAAAAAAGCATTTTCAATCATGTCAATGGATACTTGCATCTGTACTCACAAAATACCTGGAAAGATGGTTAGAGAGAGACATTTACGTGATTTCCATTTATTATACTAACCTTGAGGTACCTTGGGTAAAGCCACCTCTGTAGCGTCTATGATCACGTCCCCATCCTTTTTAATTCTAACGGACCGTATTCCATGTGTGTATAAATCACGAAATGTACGCCGTGCTGTATCCAACAAAAAGTAATTTGCACATTGATGACAAACGGCCCAAGCTTGCTCCTCATTAATAGGATTATTAAACACGGTTAAAATTTCCTCTAAACTAAGTGGATCTTCTGATATATCCCTAGAATCAGTTGGTAAAAGTTGGGCCATGATCCTAAACAAGTCATGGCTACGCTTTGCTTTGAAGTAACATGAGCGGTGAGCGAGTTCCGAATGTGGACAGGTGAAACAAATTACCACGGGGGACAACTCGAAATTGAATCGCCTGACTGAGCAGTTGACAGGACTGATTTAGGTGGACCAAGATTTGTCTTTCTTGATCATGAGCACTACTTAATAATTTAAAAGATACTTTGAGTAAGTTAGTAAGAAAATATCGAAAGTGATAAGCTTCATGAATACGACAACAAACCTCATAAAATGTACATGTAGCCTACACAGTTTTTGTAGAAGGACAAAATCTTAGTTTAAACACAAATCTTATCATATACAATATTTGTGTTAACTTGTATATTAATCTTCCTACTTCAACAGGCCCGTAGGAAGTAATTTCAGTTTGGAGGGGGGCACAGCCAAAATTTTCAGTTGGGGGGCACTATCAACTACCAAAATTCTTTGACAAGCAAAAAAAATAAATAAATAAAAATAAAAAAGGTCATCAGACGTTTTTATTGAGGGGGCACAAGCATATATAGTACCTAAGTTTTCTATAGTATTCTATATATCGGCAAAATTATTGCCCCCCCCCCTCCCCGGTTCCTACGGCCATGTCCAACAAAGTAACAATACTACATGAAATTTCCCAAACCGGGTAACACACACTAAACATAAAAAAATCAAACAAAGAAATATAATTTTTGAATTTTATAAACAAAAATTTTCCTTACCCAACCTATACACTACATGAGAGCCACAGGGGCTTGTCTTCCGGATTGTTAAATGTAAAATAAATTTTAAAAATTTGAATCTTCTTTAAATACACTTAAAAGTTGTTAAAATAGAGATTCTGACACTTTCAGTCAAGAAAAACCACGTTTAAAAAAGACGTACCACGCCTATATACATAAACTCTATAGGTGTGGTACGTCTTTTTCTTGACTGAAAGTGTCAGAATCTCTATTTTTAAAACTTTTAAGTGTATTTAAAGAAGATTCAAATTTTTCAAAATTTATTTTACATTTAACAATCCGGAAGACAAGCCCCTATGGTCCTAGTATTAATTTTTGATGATACCTCTATTATCTAACTTAAGAAAATGCAGAAAATGAACGTCTCTTTTCTTTTGTTCAATCATTTATTAAACATTCTGGTAGATTTCCTTGTTAGCATTAACTAATGTATCAGTATATGCATTGGTACAAAATTAAGTGTATCTATATATCAGCAAAATGCATCGTTTTGTAAACTTTTGCAATTATTGTATACTTTAAAACTTCATGTTTAACTGTGACGATTTAAATGTGTAATTTACATGTAGGGAGAGGTCGTAATAAGTTTTCAGAACTTGTGCCCAATCCCATTGTATTTATTAATTACAATAAAATATGTTCAAACCAATCCAACTTATCAACTTTGAATTTCGTCTTGTTCGGTAACTTGATGAGATTTTAGAATATGTGTTTGTGCGAATTTTCTAGATTTCTCCCATTTATACTCTCATAGAGCCTTATAATATATGCACATGTCTTAAATTTTCAAAGTATTCTATCGAATAGTAAGAAAGTTACAGCCTACAAAGTATTAGCCAATCGGAATTCAGCACTCGATAAAGCATGATGTGAGAACTAAATAGACCTATTCATATTCTAAATTTCATCCTGTTTTGTTGAAAATCGAGGAAGTTATTTATACTGGTATAACCTGGGTTGGGACAGTTTACGCTTTATAAACCGCGAAGCGGTTTATAAAATAAGCGTAAACTGTTCCAACCCAGGTTATACCCGTATAACTTGGGTAGCTATTAAATTCATTAATTCCATAAAAAAAGACAATTCCTCCTTCAAAAATGCCTTCAAATTGTACGTATTTTAAATGTAACGTCAAGCGGATTGATACGTTTTTGATGTTTAAGTCATTGTGGCGTAGGCAACCCAGGTTATACGATATATTCCAATTTTTTTTATCCAATCAAATGACGTGTAACAACCAAAATTAAATTATATCCATTTAAGGTTTCAGTCAATCAAATTGCAGCACACGTGCATGTTTTCAAGAAATTTCTTATACATTTAACGTTTTGTAGAACCTTATTATACATAACTTTCATTTTAAATTTCAAAGTATTTGGTCAAAAACAAGAAAGTTATTGATATCTTTGTTACAGCCAATCAGAGCGAAGGACACGTGCATGCGCAAGAGTTAAGGCTAATTTGACCCTCTCATCTTGTCCAGACTACTAATATATCTTACAATTCCGAGTTTCATATTTGCATTATACGCCCTTCTTCAGCAGCATGCAGTGTTTTCTTAATTAAACTCATGCGTTAGAGGGGTGCTTTTAGAGGCTACACGTAGTACCCCCCTTTTTTTGCCAAACATAACCTTTTACTGTTGAAAATGTTCATTAAAATGCCGGTTGCCCCACTCACTTTTTTGAACACCGTCACACGAAATAGGATTTCTGAGTTTTGACATTTTTTTTCTGCTTGTCAAAGTTTTAAGATACATGTAAGTTGTCTTTTTTATTATTTTTTTTTCTGGTTGACCCTCCCCCACTTTCAAAAAAACGATACTATGCTTGACTACTTTTAAAGAAATTCATAAGTTAAATTCGGTTTAGTTTTTTAAATTTCATTTTCAACAGTGAAATACTGAAAATTATCCTCTGAATAAATGTGATGTTTTTTGAAAGTGATATTTTTCGCAGTGAAAAATATCAAAAGTGATTTTTTTTTCACTCTGAAAATATCAAAAGTTCTGGAGAACTCTCGATTTTCATTCCTTTCACAAATAAACCATCCTGATACAGACTTCTCCATATTGTTGTTAATATTCCACAGGCACTTGGGGTATGGACCCCCCCCCCCCCCTTGTCCATTTTTTTTCTTTTAAAATCTAGGACCAAGTCAACCTTTTGTCTCTATAAGCTGTTTTTTTTAATATATCGTTTTCGACTGATACATTAAAAGATATATCTTTTTATGTATCAGTCGAAAACGATATACTGCGTTACGAAAAGACAGAGGTGTGCAACCAAAGAAAATGTAATGATAAACAGAAAATTCAAAATCTTGCTTCGCACTCGTGAAAAATAAAAAAAACCCTGTCCCACTCGCAAACAGAATTCCAGATTAAACTACAAACATTGAATATCCTCTATATATGCACGACTTTATAACCTTTGTTGAAAGAATGATTATTTTTTAACCATTTCTTTTAAGTTCAATGTTTGTCATTTTATTTGAATCGGGATCGAGATATTTCACCAAGATGCTTTGCGTTTTCCCTCTTTTCGATTCTCAATATTGATGAAATCCCCAAAATTGATGACGTAATTCACAACTTTGGAGCACGATGTACTATTGCACAGTTTAGTGGAAATCAAAAAATTAAGTTTCACAATCTTTGGTGGTTATAAATAGAGGAGGAGACGCAAACTTAGTATATTTGTAATGGCCGTGCGTGCTCAGTTTGAAGGAAATAATGAAGTAGGCGTGTTTTCTAAACTGACAAATGCCTACTGTTTAGTTGCGATCGGAGGATCTGAGAACTTCTATAGGTAATTTGCTGATAAGAATATATATGTTTGTTGATAACTTTCCATCGTAGTCAGAATGTTGTAGTATCATTATCATTATATTAAGAGAAAGTGATAATATTTGTATTCCTAGATCGAGAGGAAATTGATTACTTAATTAAGTGAATCTGACAGATAAATATTTTAACAATTGATCGCGTAGACGCATACCTTTATGTTAAATTCATTTTTTTTTTGTTTAGTGTCTTTGAAGGGGAATTGTCAGAAGCCATACCAGTGGTTCATTGTAGCTTAGCAGGATGCAGAATCATTGGACGTATGTGTGTAGGTAAGAATTCTCAGTATAATATGAATGAGGCATATTCGTCATAATAATCTACTGTGGTGCTTTCTCTCAGGAATTCAAGCTAGGGCCGTTACGGTTCCCTGAAATAACCAAAAACAGTGATGCAAGTTGTTAATTTGGTTTTGGTTCCATTTTCCTGGATTTCAGTTCAGATCTGTTTTGTACATCAGAATCAAATTATACTAAAAATTGGCATTGGAATCAAAAGAATGACGATGATAACAGGTGTTAGATAATATTACAACTGAAACCTACTTCATCCATGACAAAACAAATTGTCATGAAAGGATGGGATAATTATCAAAACCAGCAAGAGTGGTCATGTTGTAGCTAATAGTTGGTCTAGTAGTTCTAAACACAGATTTCAAAATGTTAACATGGTTATTTAAATTTTTTCTAAGGGTGAATTAAATGTAACAAATACTGGTTTTTCAAGTTTTATTCATGAATTTAAATTTTAAAATAGATTTAAAGAACTGAACCAAACAAACTGAAACCAAACCACTTATAATAATATGGATGTGGAAAGTAAGGTAAATCCCCTGCATATACAGTCAAGCCTTGTTAATTAGACATTTGTGTTCTCGAGCAATTTGTTTGGATTAATGAAACATTCTTGATATATTTAGATATAAATTGTATCCCACATATTTCTTCCGTAAGGTGAAGCGTCCAGATTATTGGCATCCACATTAACGTGGCTCTACTATACTTGAATGTATATATTTGGTTTTTAGTTGACTGACTCAGTTTGCTATTCATGGGGAAAAATGTTTTGGTATAAACATATTAACCAAAATTTTGTAAATTTTATTTTTGCAGGAAACAAAAATGGATTATTAGTGCCAAGTTCAACAACTGATCAGGAATTACAGCACATTCGAAACTCTTTACCAGACAGTGTAAAAATTCAGCGTGTGGAGGAGCGATTGTCTGCCCTTGGAAATGTGGTCACTTGCAATGATTATGTGGCTTTAGTTCACCCTGATCTCGACAGAGTAGGTACTTTAATTAAAGATATGATTTACAAAGGTGTATGATAATTACTTTCTTTCCTTATTGTTTTTACTGATTATGTTGGACCATTCACTTCGAACTTTAGCTTTTGTAGAAATTTTAGCAATTTCATCTAGCATAATAAGGGAAAAAATATTTGCTGTCATGTCAGTACATGTATATTGTTTGTTGTAGGAGACAGAGGAAATAGTGACAGATGTACTGGGTGTGGAGGTGTTCCGTCAGACAGTGGCTGATAATGTGTTAGTGGGCACATACAGCACAATTAGTAACCAAGGAGGGCTGGTAAGTAATACAGTGACTGACAATGTGTCAGTGGGCACATACAGCACAATCAGTAGTCAGGAGGACTGGTTTTTAATACATACATCAGGAATGCAAGATTGACACTCTTAATCAACTTTTTGAGAAAAGAAACCAATTTGTTATATTTCTCAAAAGTAACCACTTAATTATACGGAACAAGATTATACTTGAAAATTTATTTCAAATTCCAGATTCCTATATCTACCATTTAATCTAAATTTTTTAACTAAAAAAATTGCATCTGTTATAGGTTCATCCCAAAACATCAATAGAAGACCTGGAAGAATTGTCTTCCCTTTTACAAGTACCTCTTGTTGTAAGTTGTTACCAATGCTAACATTTTTAAGTACTGTTAAGAAGATTGGAACTTATTCCTAAATTTAAAAAAATCCTTTATTTTAATTCTCAGTGTATTCCTACATTATAAAACAAATCCTTGACTTTTCAATGATGCTGATTGCAGGCTGGTTCTGTGAACCGTGGGAGTGATGTAATCGGGGCGGGTATGGTTGTCAATGATTGGATAGCATTCTGTGGACTGGACACGACCAGTACAGAGTTATCTGTGATAGAGAGTGTGTTTAAGTTGGGAGACAGGACTCCCAGTGCCATCTCCACAGAAATGAGGGAAAGCCTCATAGAAAGGTACCTATAATCACCTGGCATTCTTTTATGTTCACTCTAATCCCCCAGGAAAAGGAGGGTGCCTGGCACAAACTGTGATCTGGATTGAAAAGTAGGAAAATTATGAACCCACCATATAAGTTCTTAAATTATTACAACTGCTATTTTAGAAAATTTAAAGGAAAGTCCTAACATTTCAGACATTGCATCAAAAGGAATTGATTATATTGACACACTAAAAAAGAAATTTGTTATCAATTGCTACAGTTTGAGAAAGTAGCATGGTTAGTATAATATACTATTCAGTATTGTACTATTCTTCCCTGGAGCCTTATATACAGGTTTGTTAAGGTTTCCTGTATTTTTCAGCATTGCGTAGTTGTCACTGAGGACTATTCAGGACTCTAGAGGTATGCTGCAGCAGATTCCTGTCCAAAATTCAACATGCCCGGGTTGTACATGTGTCATTTTGTGTACCATTTACACAGTTGGATCACTGAGTTCACAGACTATTATACAGATCTGACTTCTCATCCTCATCACACCAGTAACTTTATCACAGTGAGGTTACCTATAATTCATGCTCATTTTGTCAAATAAAGCAACATTTTGTCAAATCAAGTAACTCTGTACCATATATTTAATGTGCAGGTAAATGAAATTGTTCAAATAAATTTATATATTAACCAAAATTTGTACACTCATTATTAACCATATAAAGATGTGCACCTGGTATTTGTGTAAATCCATTTGTCCCTTTGGAGTAATGAGTAAACATGCATCCAGTTAAAGATTAATTAATGAGTCCAGTGAGGGAAGGTTGTCTTAATCATTTTTTTTAAAGCATGTGTGATCTAGCAGGTGTTATCTGTATCTCTTGGGAATTGTGCAGAAGAATAAGATCTGCTCTCTAACTCTCTTAGTTGCAGAGTTTCATGTCTAGAGCTCACAAAGATGACACATAGTTGCAGGGCTCTACGTTAACTTTATTTCCCACTTGTCCATTCCGACAAGTGACTAAGACATTTACTTGTCCAAACTTCAATTTCACTTGTCTGAAAATTTTTCAATAAAGATCTAATATTGTCAACTTGGAAAAACTGTTACTTAAAGTCCATTATATACAACAAACACTTAAAGCAAAATTTTATCTAGACTTCCTGTCATGACAACAACATAAATGTTCACAAGTGAAACTGTCAACATCAAACAGAATCCAAACTTCATATAATCCATGCCTTTACAGTAGTATGCAATTGGTGAACTTGGTTCCCGATCCAGTGTGAACTCAATTACATAGTGATTGATTGAAGTTTGTTTTTATGTACTGCTTCCGTCTTTAAACTACAGATAAACTTTTCATCAGTCTTTTTTTTTATTATTATTTTGAGACTTCTTTACGTAAAAGCACTTGTCCAATCTGACAAGTGCCCAGCAATATTCACTTGTCCATATTTTTTTTCACTGGCACCGGACAACTGGACAAGCATTAATGTTGAGGCCCAAATTGAAATTAATTTTTTTAATCCAATAAAATGCAATATAATTATTAGTATTTTTGATGTTTTATTAGGCTGTGCCTTACTTCATCATTCATTAAAAAATACAATGAGCAATTAAATTTTAACTCTCAATGTTAAAACAAATTGTGAACACTTCTTAGATCCATAAAATACTTTAAGTGATTTGGTACCTTTTCTGAAAAACCCAGAGGGGGTTTTTGTCCATTTTGGACAGTTAAAGTTTCTCTTGAATTTGTTATCCCCTCGCAGAAGGGATATTGCATCGCTAATGTGTGTAAGTGGGTGTGTTCAGGTATACACTTAAAAGGCAAGATTGAAAGAGAACAGAAAATTATGCAACAGTTGAATAGCTATAAATAATGTTTTATAATTATACCAATTTTTTTTTTTGTTTTTTACAAATGTTGGTTAATTTTTTGAAATTGAGCTAAAAACAAAGTCTGACAGATGTACAGATGGGAGACAAATATGATGAACACTGTGCCCCATACAGGCATATTCTTGGTGGGGGGTAAAGAGTGAATGCTCTGTTGGTGCTCTTATTCTTTAATTAACAGTGTGTACAGTAAAACACAGTTATAGTGATTTTTCATACCCGGTGGTTTTAAAATGTATTGAAAAATAAAGAGATACATGTATAAAAATATTGTTAATAACTAATCAAAATTGATAATCCCTGGCATTTTGCTACAAGCATTTTTTTTTTTACTGAATATGCATCCACATACAGAACAGGTCATGTTGCAGTATTTTAAATTTCTTGTTAAACTTAGCAACCTTCACTATGTAAAAGTGTAATGGTTGGGGCTGTGGATATCAGCCTGGATAGCTCAGTTGGAAGAGCACCTGACTAGTGATGCAGGGGCCAAAATGTGGCCCTACCCAGGCCACAGGAGCCATGATTTGAACAAACTTGAATCTGCACTACCTGAGCATACTTGCTTATTAAAATGACTTATCATGACCTTATCAATATGATTAATCATGACCTTCATATTCTTGAGAAGATTTTTCCCATATATTCCAATGTAAAACTTCAATCTCTTATTGTGGCTACATCCCCAAAAAAAAAAAAAATTGGAGAGGGCTACATTATTGCAGCTAGGCTACATCCTGTCCCAGGGGGTCATAACTTTAACAAACTTGAATCTAGGCTATGTCATACAGCCATGCAAGCTTCATGTTTTCTGGCCCAGTGGTTCCTGAGATTTTTTTTATTAAAGAGAATGCAGCCCTTCATTTGCTTTGTGGAAAGTTGATATTGGCCCAGTGATGCTAGAACAATGGCAAATATTTTTTATCAGAAAAGCTCACTTGTGTCTTTGGCTCAGGTGAGCTAATAAGCCCTACCTGGACCAAACTTGCATGTATGAATGCTATCAGCTTTGTTTTGGATTTCCTATCGGACCTTTTTCTAGATTAATGACCAGATTAATATGTTTGGAAGAGGTTTCCCAGTTTACTGTAAGTTCAGTATTCTGACCATATTTGCATGGATGATGCACATGAATGCATACTACCGGACTTGATTCAGATGCTGAATCATACTTTTCTGTAATGGAGTAATTCCTTTCCCAAGTACTACCTGGACCAAATTTGCATAAATGTTGCATCTAGGGATACACACTACCAGAAAATTTCTTTGGTGTGAGATTTTGCCTATATAATGTGTAAGTAACATTTACCGGGGTACTTTGGTAAGCTTTGATTACCTAGCAAGTTTAATTTTGGTCTCATGTATCAAATTCAAAAGATGTGGAATCAACATCATTTGGGAAGAACATGCATTCAGTCCTTTACAAATATATATGTCCATATACAGTAGGCAAGTAGCTCCAAATGTGAAGATCAGTTCATATTACAAAATAACTTGTGACCAGTAGAAATATACAGTATAATTATTGCAATTAACTTTCTACTTTAATTTGAAAATGGTAATATGTACTCTTTTTTTCTATTTATATATGCAATAGTTTTCAACTGCAATATTGAACAATAACTTTATTTTTTTGGTGTTATGTAGTTGTAAGTAGTTTTGTAAAATGGGCCAGTTAATTAATAGCGATTCTCTGTAACCACTTAAACTTCTTTGCCACGCATGGTCACCAATTTTGATGAAACTTTGCCCATTATTACAACTTGACACCAGAAACAATTATATCAAATAAAATTTCATTGCTACGCGTCTTGATTGCCATGGTAACAGCCAGAAAAGTTGGAAAAATTGAGATTTTCAGCTACTTTGAATCTTTATTAAGCCTTAATAAAGAATAACAAACAAACCATTCTCCCCAAAACCTGACACCTTGTTGCCACATATGCTATAAAGAAACTATATAGAATTTATCTCTAAGTAAGTGGTAACCATGGGTACATTTGGAATACATTTTAGATGCTGAAAAATGCAGAAAAACGCTCAATATTCACTAATGATAGGTGTTAACATGATTAAACTCGATCAACAACCTAAGAAAAAACAATAAAAATATTTGACCTTAAGTAATTAGGTATTGGCAATATTATTCTAAAAATAACTTTTATGGTTGCCATGGTAACACAGTGTTACCATCCAAAATGTGTTGCTAAGATTGGGTTAATGCTACTATCTTCAGGAAAAACAATAAATTTCATGACTGGCACATATACATCCTGAGGACCTTGCAACACCGATAACATAAGAAAAATTGGGATTAATTGTTACTTTGCAGTGTAACCATGGAAACAATGTACAGTTGTTTAAAATGATATTTTTTTTGCTGCCTTAGGAATTTACTTACCTTTTATTCAAGAAATATATTATTTGACTCACTTTGAATAGTACTTATCTGGTAAAACTAAAGTTGAATATCATATATTGATAACGTTTGTTAAAAAATACAACACTGTTGCTATGGTAACCAAGAAGGGAAAATGTTCGATTTTGTTAATTTTATATCAATATTAAACCCTATGTGCCAGCTTTTTGCATCCAGTTAGAGATTGGGTGGCAGTCAAAATTGAAAGTCAGGTTAGTTGTTCATAATTACCAGTCATAAAAGTTTTGGGAATCTACATACAAGGGTACGTATCCAAGGAAACAGAATATTTTTCAGATTTTTATGCATATTTTTTCGCCTTATTTCCATAGCAACGCTCTATTTAAAGAATTGAATTTAAATTTTTTGAAATGTGAGAATTAGGGTCACATAAACATCTTTAAAAACTGATCATTAGTTATACAGAACTATGCTTTTTAAAAAGATAGGATTAGATTTAATCACTATGAGAGTAAATTTAAAATCCTTTCTTGGTATTAAAACCATGGCAACCATTGCCAACCTATAAGAAATATCATATTTCTTCTATGGTATATGTTACAAGCATCTATTGTCTATAATTTGCTTGCATTTCAACCTATATTTTTTTTTTCTTAAGTGTATGATTTTATAAAATTAAATGAGCAAAATTATTACTTTTGAATACTTTGTTTCCATAGTAACGTATGTAAAAGTTGATTTACCAAACATGTTTATCATGCATTTAAGACATCAGGCCTTCAACTTTCAGAAACAATCATTGCCACTGGTTTGCTTTGCTGCAAACGTTAACTGTGGGACTCTGAACATGTTGAAAAATGCCATTTTTCAAACTTTAGGACATGTTGCCATGGTAACCATGACACGTAGCAACCAATTTCTGCCTGATTTGAGTTTACGGTATCAAAGACTTTTATCATAGAGAGTTTGGAGAAATTCTGAGACTATGCGTGCCACAGCTTCTATATAAAAGTTCAAGTCGTTACAGAGAATGGCTCTTAATACTTGCAACATACTGGATCAAGACCATAGATTAGGATCAGATTGGTAGTACAAGACACCATTTTCAAAGGATGATTAAAGTGATGCAACAGATCATTGAAGCACATTAAAATACATTCCTTCAAATTCAAAGCATTAAAACAGAAGCCAATACAGTGAGAGATATTTTACTTCTTATTTAACAAATACACACTCAATTTCCTTATCAATGAACACAACAAAGCTTAAATTAAAAAGGTCATTCATATTTAATACTTCAGTCAACTTAATTTCTCAGAATGTTGATTTTTTATGATATAAATGGAAACGACCCTAGTACATTTTTTTATATCGTATAAAGGCACTGTATACCCAAAAGTTGATTCTCTTAACCAAGTACACAGACATGCATTGTGTCAAAAATTCACAAGATTTCAGCTGAAATAAAATACCGGTACTGATATTATTCACAACCTCCATGAAATACTTTTATTATGCAGAATACATAAAGCAGGACAGTTTATAAAACGGCTTGATTAAGCCATTTTTATTGCCTATATGTAAGTTTTCTTTCTATCAAAAATCAATTTTAATCATATTCTAGACAAGAGGCCAAGGGCCTTAACAGTTACCTTAGTATAATTTAACCCTTTAAAGAATCTATGGAATGACAATTTAATGAATATATTAGAAGACTTGAAGAATTTATGCATTTCACTATTTGATCAATACAATCCCGCCTTAACTTCAGAATCCCTGACCTTGGAACCATGAATTTCACAATTTTGGAAGAGACACCTTTGCTTATAGTGACCATGCATTTAGTTTGCCTGCTATATACTGTGCAGCAGTTTAAAATCACAGTCAGAAAAGATTGTGATTTGCTAAATTTGCTGCAAAGCACAGTAATCTGAATTTATGAAGAAGGAAAAATATACATGTATGGTTTTTTTTAACTCAAATGAAATTACCGGTAAATGAAACCACATGCAATAAAAAAACTTTGTATCAGGTGGTCTACATTTCCTCTATATAGTTTGAATGGAAACCAGACAGAGCTTATATACTCTTGTACAGATAACTCAATAATTGGACCTTATTGAATGTTCAAGAAATATTCAATGAAAGTTGAATTTGTGGAACTTTTATTTCTGCAAATATTGCCAAAATTAACTCTGAGTAAATTTCCTGCTGCGCAGTTCCCAGGAGCCAAGGAAGTAATGCAGTCAATAGAGCTTCATCCTAACAGTAGAACCCCTGACCCAGGAACCATGAATTTCAAATTTTTGAAAGAGGCATCCTTGCTCATCATTACCATGCACTTAGTTTGTCTGCTTGTTTCCCAAGAGCAGAGAAGATTTCAATAGGATTAATGCATTTTTCGCTAAAAGAGCCTCAGCCTAACTCCAGAATTTCTGACCCAGGAGCCATGAATTTCACAATTTGAAAAGAAGAACACTTGCTTATTGTAACCATGCACTTAGTCTGCTTAATACCCAGGAACAGAGAAGTAAATTTTCAAAGAATTGATGCACTTATACTACATGATCAGTACAGCCCCACCTAAACTCCTAACCCTCGGGCCATGAATTTCACAATTTTAATTGGGGGCTCAATGGATTTTTAAATAATGCAAACAGTTTGAATGCTTGATATCCAGGAGTAAAGAAAATTTTTGAAGATCACATTATTTTTTTATGGTTTTGACCCCACTCCCCAATGAGGGCAGAGAACACAGAATTCAAAATTGTTGTTCCCCCATTACCCATAGATGCTAAATATGTATACCAAATTTGGTTAGAAATGGTTCACCTATTCAATAAAAAGAAGATGAATATGTTCTAAAGTTTATGACCTAAGCATGAAGGACAATGCACATCGCATGGCAATAGAGGAAACAAATAGCAGTAGGTCACCGGAGTGACTCAGGTAACCTAATAAGACACATGAATTGAGCTTTCCACATGTGTTACTCTGGTTTTCCAGGGAATAAAGATCTGACTTTCATCATGATCACATTAACAGTGAAAGAAAATAGATGAAAAGCATAAAAATCAGATAAAAAAAAAAAGAAAACGTAAAAAAACTTTCAACAACCTTTTTTTTGAATTCTCGAAAATTCAATGGTAGAATTCTAAATAATCAGTTAATAAGATCGCTGAAAAAAAGATCCTCTTTTAAAAAAAGTATTTTGTCTACAGTGTAATATTCTTGACATTATGCCGCATAAAGCAGTTGACTGGAAAATAAAAGGGGTAAAATTATGTTGAAACTTGTCATAATAGAATCTCCTGTGCCTTGTGCTTGGCTAGCAAAGAAGTAAGCTTGGGGATAGAATACTTAAATCATGTCCAATCACAATCCTTGGAAATCATTATATATATATATATATATATATATATATATATATATATATATATATATATATATATATATATATTAATAAACATAGTGATTTACATGCAACAAAATTTGCATACAATAAGGGAAAAAATCTTTACATTGATACAATACCTATTTTACACTTAAATGCATGAATTATCTGCATTGTTTCTTAAGTATTAAGAGGAAGTAAAATATTTGTCTGAATAATTTGGTTTCTGTGAATGTAACAGATATGTGCTTCATTTCCATAAACCATACAACTGCAGTCAACATAGAGTGAGTAACAGATGCTATCAAGTCACTCACAAACTCCTAATCTATTTTCTTGTATCTAAGATTTTGACAACATGAAGGAAGAAGAAACTTATTATCTATTGTTGACCTAAATTTGGTGTGACTAGTTTTATCTGACAACATGAAACATCCTTTTCAATAACAACACTTTACCTACCATGTCATGAAAATTTTCAAAGTGAACATAAACACATTGTTTTAACAAAAATAACTTATGATGTATAAACATGTACGATGTTTCATAATTTGCATCAACATATTTAAAATTGTTTAGTGAACTTGAATCAATACTTGATTCTCTCATGCACAATAAATACATGACACAGAAGTCACAAAAACAGGTGAGCAGTACAGGTAATAATTAATCCACTTGGTGAAATTGAGAGCCGAGTTGAACATCAGTGTTTGCCACATACCCATTTGAGTTGAGGGTCGGCTAACTTTGTTATTTCTGTAATGGAGCGGTGACAACACTGACAGCAGTAGGCACGAGAGCCTGTAACAACAAAAATAAAACTAAAAATTCAGTGAAAATTTTTGAAATAATCAATTATCAAATTGATTTTATTTTTTGGTTTGGATTTATCATTTTCTTTTCTAGTCATCAAAGCATATTACTTTCAAAGAAAAACTTTCTTCTCGATTTGATTTCCTCTAATGCCAATATTTGAACTAAATTTTAAGTATGACCATACATTGAACTGATTGAAGATATGTACATCAAGTATACAAACTATTTGACAAGTAAGAAAATTTTTAGGCAAGTTGGAAATTAATTAAACTATTAATGAATTAATAGGACAGACAAACTCGGGAATGACGAAGCCAAACAAGGGCTATTTAAGGACAATGGAATCATAGGCGGATCCAAGAATCTGTGAAAGAAGGGGGTGGGGGTGGGGTGGAGGGTCAACCATGTTTGTGTTCCACCACATGATTGTTTAAGCAGTTTTCACAAGTCATTTACACCCCCTTTGCTTGTGTCTGTAACATCTGAGGGAGAACTGGAGAGAGTTTGAAGACTTTTTATTCAGTAATACCCCGAGACACTGGATAGGCTCTTGGTAATCTTGTGTACTACCACCTTTGCAGAAATTGTATTACTATAACTACACATTGCTACAATGACTAAAAATGCATAGTGTTTGTGATTATAACTCATACCTTTTCTAGGTACCATATTTGTCTTTAGTCTTTCATAGTCTGGAGCATTATTCCGGAGGAACAAATAGTCAGTATCCCTACTCCATTCAAAATTGTCAAATGAACACACTTTGAAGTCGCACGATGTACATCGCAGCTTATCACAGGCCCTGCAAAATTAACAGGAAATGCAGCCAATTTAAAACCACATTTTCACAGCAACCTTCTTTATAATGGATGATCTCTTTATAATTTTTTTTTTTATATACTTTCTTGGATTCATTAAAGTGAACCTGCAATATTTATCAAAAGAAGTTTAAAACTTATTTTAATGAAAACTTAAATTAGAACTTTTCCTATGGGGGAATATAATCTCTCACTTTTAGGAGGATGCAATGAAAGATGTACATAAAATCTTTTTTTTTTCAAAAAAAAAGGGGAGGGGGATTTCATGCAACAACATGGACAAAGAAAGAACTATATAATTTGACAAAATAAAAAAAAAAAAATTATACACTTTACATTGTATGTTCTTTTGTTAAGACTTTTATTGGCAGAAGCAATTTCATAGGATATAATTCCATTGTTATCAACATCATAAAACAAATTAATGCTGAACGAGTGTCTTTCAATATATATAATTTTACCTTTGGCTAACGGAACTTGCTATGCCCTGAGAACACATTGAACCACCAAGATACACTGGGAAGCACCTGTAAATATCACCTTACAATCTTAAAATACATGTAGCAGGGAATAGAATCATACCTGGTAGTTCCAAGCACAGAGTAAAGGAACTAAATTAACTATAAAATCAATAGAACTGATTGGCTGTCTCAGCGTTGAAGCAGAGTAATGAAACAGAAGAAACAATCATGTAGTGACAAAGGAATAGCCTAATGTCACTATACTTCTTTGGAACAAAAATTGAAAAAAAAAGAACAAGAGCAAAATTTTTTTTTGTTGAGAACGAGGCATGACATTCTTATAAATTATGAATTCAAAGTGGCCACATCTCAGTCATACTCAGTTTACAACCATTATGGCAAGAATTGTGAAATATAAAACATTTCCCTATTTTTAAATTGAACTGCCAGACAAACAAATGCCCACTTCTTGATTTATTTGAAGATCAAGGAGCTTAAAAACATCAAAATGTATACAGAGAATTATTTAAGATTTACATTTTATCTAAAATTGTTTGATATACCATAATATACATGCATGTATCTACACATTATGCATATATCTAAACAGTGTATATTCTTACTTTCTTCCTGAGGTGGGACGGAAATCTGATATATTGTTGGGAACAGATCTAGAAGCCTACAAATGAACAAATTATCATTATTAACGAGAAGTAACATTTTATCCATTTTCTCAAATTATATATTAATTATATGTATGTAATTCAGATTTGCACTGAAAGTAAGTACACTGTCCTTTGTATTACAAGTATAATACATGTACTACACATGTAATTTAATCCTCCCTTCCAATTCATAACTACATGTATCATGTCTACAGCTGGATAAAACTAAGTGAAGTAAAAGCAATTAACTTATAAAAGGTGTAAACTAGGTTATTCCCTATGTACCTTGTAATACAAGATATGATTGGTTAGCAAGCAGGGTGCATTAATTTCTGTACACCCGACTTCAGATGGGTGACAAAAAAACATGATGTTACAACATGTACAATGCATAGTTTCTTATCACAAAAACAATAAAAAAAAACACATGACGTTACGATGAATTGTAGCAGGTAATAAATCTTATTGATAGTTTGAAATTCTACTGATTGACTTAATTGGGTTTACAAAGAATTTATTTGAAAACATATAGGAAATAAATTCGTTCTTCAGCCTCAGGATGTATGGAATACAACCCAAGGTAAATCCCCCTACACTCTTGATTGGACCTGGATAACTAATATAATTATAAGATTTTTTCTGTCTTTCAACATTTATACAAAAGTAACATGAGTAACGTAAATAATAATTGAGTCCCCCAACAAACATGACAAATACACATATACCCTTTATCTCAATCTTAGGTTCAGTTTCACTCTATTGTCTATAAACAATTATAAATGCAGCTTCTTACCAGCAAAAATTCTCAATATCTGAACTTATCTGCAGACAGTATATGAAATTCCAGTCAGCATATTACCTCTGGATAAGAAAATGTTCAATTCTGGAAACTTTCAAAGGCAAATTTAGAAAATCTGGACTTCAGAGCTACATGTTGCACAATTTCAAGAGTTTCATACAGTGAAACAGGCTATAACAGGATTCATACCCCCCCCCCCCCCCCCCAACCAAAAAAAAAAAGTAGACAGGTGTTTTACACCAACTGAGGTTACCTACTTGACACACATAAAAATTTCATGTTTGCTGAACAGTTCTTGACACTGAAATGATTAATACAATATTTTTTCATACACCAATATAATTTCTAAATATCTTACCTTTGGAATTGGTTCTACTTGTATGTCATCCAGTAAATCATCTATGTCATAATCATTATCCCTAAAAATAGCAAAAATTATATGAAAAATATAAGAATGCTTCACCTTGCAGTTTCAAAATGGACAAAAAGGTTCAGTATATGATAGTTAGTATATAGGTCCCTGATAGCACCCTTGCAACTTTTTGCTTAATTTTCCTCAAAACTTCCATCTTTTGCTTCCTTCCATCTTCACTTTATCTCCCTATAAGTAATGTTTTATCCCTATAGCATTGCTACTTCCTGGCTTTGTTATTCTCAGTCCTTTGCTTTGTCAACCCTTGCTCTACAATATTGTCTCCCTTCCCACGCTGTCACCCTTGCTTTCTTGTGTAACAGGAAAAAAGAAAATGTGACCGACCAGACCAGGATTTGAATTTAGATCCCCTGAATCACTAGTTAGTCAGAAAGTCTAGAGAGGTCAGAAACTGCACCAAACTTGTTCTCTCTAAATATTTCATGCAATTCAGGATGTCCCTACACTTTACATAGTAAGAAATCATCACTTCTGTTGCTTTCAGTTTTAGTGGTAGGCATTGAAGATGATTTTGTTCAATGCATGTTTTACATAGCAAGTGCAAATCAGCAGATGACAGACAGGAGTTATTCAATCATTTTGAAGCTAGACACTGGTAGGAAAAGTGTAGATATTGAATAAAATCAAGTGTGAACCGAAGCATCCCCTGGAATCCAAGATGGCGAGTTGCAAACCTTGTCTTTTTATATACAGAAATATGATATCTTCAAAAAATGCTAATTTCAGCGATGTTTTAATTTTTATTTTAATAAGACTAAAGTGTATTTAGACAGACATAGAAAAACACACAATACACTATCCTGAAACCATGCGCCTATGCCATGGACGTGAGCACAGGAGTCGGCAGTTTTATCCATAGAGCTACGTAAACAATTTATTATTGTTTACGTTGCTTTATGGATAAAATTTGAAAGTAGCATTTTATACTGGGAATTTCAATATCGATTCTACGTTGGACTTGCACTGTATCACAACACCAATGAACAGCCAACAAAAGCAAAATTAAACAAAAAAATAAATAAACAGAGGGCATTTGGTGGTTGTTTTCAATGTCAGTTTTTTTAATCTATCCAAATTGGCTCACTGCATATATGTTTACCTGTTTACCCCGGCAATCACAATTTAATGTATCGTTACCTTTTCTCTTTTCGATTGTTCAAAGATCTAGCCTTTTTAATGTCCTTCGTCAAATATTTCGACTCGACCTCTTCAAGCAAATCATCTATATCTTCAGCCATACTTCAATCATTCAGTATACTGAATAATAAGTTATTGCAAATTCAAAATCATAAGCAACATGACAATCACAATCTTTTTGTTTATGGTTGTCGACAATGATTCACTTCCGGTTAGCCTAATCCGACGAGAAAAAAGGCAACTGTACGATTTCCGGATTTTACTTCTTAAGGAAAAAAACTGTTTTATAGTGTCATTAATATTCTTTATCCAGACTTATGTGTATGTGTTTTAGGGTAAGATTTTTAAGAAGAAAAAAATTCAAGAGGCCAAATGGGTGTCCTCACATGAAACAAGAGGCCCATGGGCCACAACGTTCATGGAGTCTTTTTTCCCCCTCTTTATTTCCATGAAAAAAATTGACCCCATAGTGTGGCCCTATACCAACCCCCAAGGGATTATGATTGAACATAACTTGAATCCACATAAGGGAATTAATGCTTCAATATGATTAACATGGCCGTGCTGCTTAAATGAAGATTATATTCAAAGACTTATCATATAGACGTCGGAAGCAAATTGAAAGTGGGGGGGGGGGGGGGGCTAAACCAATGGAAAATGGTAAGCCCCAATTCCCAATGCCTATATTATACCTATCTTTGAAAAAAAGGGGGGGGGCTAAGGTCAAAGTCATGAGGTACGGTAAATTATGTTGGTACCAAAAGAAAGGACTTTTGACAAGGAATAAATATGTACACATGTGAAATATGAATTCAAAGCCCTAGCACCAACTGCTCAAAAGTTAAGGCCACAGTTTTTCGTAAGTAGGTAAATCTCCAAGATTGATGTCACAAGATAAAAAGTGTTGGTATCCAAAAAAGGTGAATAATTTTCTAGAAAAAGATGTTAATGGTAACCTAGCAACTAAGCTTTATGATAAGCATGATGACTTTAACTTTTCAATCGTCAACTTCCCTTACATATACAGCAATATACCATTATCACCTGCATACAGGATTTATATCTCTCAGTTGATTAAATATGCAAGAGCATGCTCTATGTATGAACAATTTCTAAAAGAAGTTAAGTTATTGACAAACAAGTTGATGAAACAAGAATATCAACAGTATCGATTAAAGTCTTGAATCCACATATGGGAATTAATGCTTCAATATGATTAACATGGCCTTGCTGCTTAAATGAAGATTATATTCAAAGACTTATATTCCTGTATACATGTGTTTGTGAAACACTGATGCCCCTGTATTGCAGCTCATATCCAAAGTTAAAAGTTTTTCAAAAGTAGCTTGTGAACCTCTAAGTTCAAGGTGATAAGGTCAAAAATGTTGGTACCAAAAGAAAGGTCTTATCACAAGGAATACAAATGTGAAATATGACAGCCCCATGGCCAAGGTAAAGGTTTTTCAAAAGTAGGTGAAACTGCAAGGTCATAAGGACAAAAAATGCTGGTAGCTGAAGAAAGGCTTTAAATTGTCACAATAAATACAGTAAAATATGAAAACCCTTAAGTACCAACTGTTCAAAAGTTATGGCAAAGGTTAAAGTTTTTCAAAAGTAGGTCAATGGTGAAACTCTAAGGTCAAAGTCATGAGGTACGGTATATTATGTTGGTACCAAAAGAAAGGACTTTTGACAAGGAATACATATTAATAATATTTTGATCTCAAAATCAATAGGGTTCTTTTAAGGTTATAAAATATTTCACATAAAATTTCATTACAAAAGCTGATTCCAGTGGATTTCCTTATTACCTAGCTGGAAAGTATCTTCAATAATAGGCAAAATTCTTAAGGCAAAAATAAAGGAATCGGAATTTTCTGGTAATTTGCACATCTACACACTGTGTACTAAATATCTGCAAAGTCTGACCAAATTCTGTACAGCGGTTTAAGAGGAGTTGCAATAACAAACTGTTCATATCTATATTCAAGATATGGCCAAAAATCTAAGTTGAAAAGTGCCGAAATTCCCAGAAAAATAATGGAATCAGAATTTCCTGGTAATATGCACATCTACACACTGTGTACTAAATATCTGCAAAGTTTAACCAAATTCTGTACAGTGGTTTAAGAGGAGTTGCAATAACAAACTGTTCATATCTATATTCAAAATATGGCCAAAAATCTAAGTTCAAAAGTGCCGAAATTCCCAGAAAAAATAAAGGAATCAGAATTTCCTGGTAATATGCACATCTACACATTGTGTCCTAAATATCTGCAAAGTTTGACCAAATTCTGTGCAGCGGTTTATGAGGAGTTGTGCTGACAAAAAAAAAACAGGGCTGATGGACTGACTGACTGATGGACAGTTCAAAAACATTATACCCCCCCCACAACTTGTTGCGTGGGGTATAATAAAGTGATTGTTAATCTTCATGTTTTTGAAACATTTTGTGAACGAAATACATAATGAATTATGTTTATCAAGAAACAAAACTGTCATCCCTGGAACTCTGCTTCTGCAACTTGAAACCGTCACCTGATTTGCAGCAAGATTATACAGATATGCTTGTACAGTGACCCCCTTTTCCTCATTCTGACTGCACAGTTTCTTTACCATCACAATTCCACTTACTGTGCAAAAAAAAAATGTCCATAGGACACGAATGCCCCGCGGAGTGCATATTAGTAACGCAACATGAAAATTTGTACTAGTGAATGAGGTTTGATGAAAATAATACCAGAACAAGTGTAAATATACATAATTAATATATGTTATTTACATTCAAATTAAAATTTCCCCTGATTTTGAGCTTAAAAAACTCATGTTTCTATAGTTTAATTCACTTTAAATTTGTCTGTTATTTAAATTTGGAGTCGGTAAATAAATCGGTTATTGTTTTAAATTTTTTATATCTTTGAAACCCAATTGATTTAAATTGTGTATTTTACAGGAAAGTCCTATCTTTATATAAAGTAATAAAACAAATAGAAAGATCTTTAATTTTGGTTACCTGAATTTAAAACAGAGTTAAACACAAATTGAGAAAAGTGAGGTCAAGGTCAAAGGAAAGGTCAAGGTGAAAAATATTGATGCAGTTGAATAGCTTACACCAGAATGTATCAGCATATGAAGTTTGACACTAATTTAAGAAAAGTGAGGTCAAGGTCAAGGGAAAGGTCAAAATTTGTTGATACAATTGAAAAGGTTACATCAGTATGTATTACCATATGAAGTTTGATAAAAATATTATGAATGGTTTCTTTAAAAATGAGCTAAACACTAATTTAAGAAAAGTGAGGTCAAGGTCAAAGGAAAGATCAAGGTCAAAAAATATTGATGCAGTTGAATATCTCTCATCAGTATGTATCAGTATATGAAGGTTGATAACACTATCTTGAATGTTATCTTTAAAACCGAGCTAAAACTTATTTAAGAAAAGTGAGGTCAAGGTCAAAAGAAAGGTCAAGGTAAAAAATATTGATGCAGTTGAAAAGCTCTCATCAGTATGTATCAGCATATGAAGTTTGTTAAAAATATCTTGAATGGTTTCATTAAAACTGAGCTAAACACTAATTTAAGAAAAGTTTTTTTTTTTTTGTTTGTTTGTTTGTTGTTTAACGTCCCTCTCGAGAATTTTTCACACATATGGAGACGCCACCACTTGCTGGTGGAGAGCTGCAAATCTTGTCCTATGCTCGGCACTTACGGTCATTGAGCAGTGAGGGGTCTTTTTCGTGCCAACACCTACTGCGACACGGGACCTCGGTTTATACGGTCTCATCCGAAGGACCGGTCTCCACGTCCCACAGTGGGATTCGAACCCATGACGTAAGGATCAACTCCTTACCTCGCGACTCTAGAGCAGATGCTCTAACCACTGCGCCACAATTTAAGAAAAGTGAGGGCAAGGTAAAAAAAAAGATCAAGGTAAAAAAATGTTGATGCAGTTGAATAGCTTACCTCAGTATGTATCAACATGTGAAGTTTGATTACACTTTCTTGAATGGTATCTTAAAAACTGAGCTAAACACTAATTTAAGAAAAGTGAGGTCAAGGTCAAAGGAGAGGTCAAGGTAAAAAAAAAATGTTGAAGCAGTTGCATAGCTCTCATCAATATCTATCAGCATATGAAGTTTGATAAAAATATCTTGGATAGTTTCTTTGAAACTGAGCTTTGAACAGAGCTAAACGCAAAGTGTGACGGAAGGACAGACGGAAGGACGGAAGACGGACATGACAAACACTATATGCTCCGGCCATATTTATGGCAGGGCATAATAAAAATATCTTGAATAGTTTTTTTGAAACTGAGCTTTGTTGAAACTGAGCTTTGAACTGAGCTAAACGCAAAGCGTGAAAGAAGGTTGGAAGGATGTGAAACAGACATGGATGACAAACTCCATATGCCTTGGCCATATTCATGGCGGGGCATAAAAAAAAATATGGAAGTTTTACACGAAAGCTGTACAACCTGGATTCCTATTTGTAGGCTAGGCATTATGCAATACAAAATGATTATTCTAAAATAATTTAATCATGTTAACATAAACAAAATAAATTGATCATCATATTCTTCAACAGTAACAAAATAATCAGCATAATTATATTGACTGAAATCAAAGTCGCAAAACAGACACTTGACTATGTGTAGGATACTGTGAGTCCAGCTGGTTGAACTCGTATGCACACTTATTCCGCTCAGATGTGTATCCCAACTCATGGTAGAGTCTTGCCAAATAGTAAACAGCATCCTTTACTCTCATATGAGCCTCTAGTTTCTTAAACAATTCAATAACACTGATCATCAGATTGACTGCCAGTAACAATGAGGACTTTCTGTCCGTTTCATTCAGTTTACTGCCAGCCGCCACTGAGCACCGAGCATAGCAGTACATAGTTCTGGCTCGGTCCAAACAGTTTCCATGGGAAAGTATTGTCACCATGTGCTGATCCAGGAGCTCAAGGGCTTTCTCGGGTAACTGCATGAGTAACTGAACAAAAGCTAAATACACAGCTGCTAAGGAATGCATATAGTCCAGATAATGCTCCTTAGCTTTGGTGATGCATTCCAAAATCTGCGGAGTGGCTGATATATGGTTTCCAGTCTGAATGTAAAGATCTGCAAGAGCAAGCATCACCCTGCATGGAAATTCTGGACTGAATTTGTGCGAGTTTGTCTGAACTCGCTCTCTTAGTTTTGTCAA